GGCAAATAGGACAATCTGGCGGCCTTGGCTACGTGAACGGTATAGCATATTTCATTCACCTGGGCCCGTCCTTCAAAACTTCTCCGTCACCGAAGTATATATAAAGCGAGCAAGACAATGTTTGACAAAACATGCAGATGCGTTCTCACTGGACGAAAGACTTAGATATTGAAACCCTGGAATACGGAAATACCTTCATCCGATAAGATATAGGCAGATCATATAATAGAAACAGAAAGCGCGAGCAGCTTAGATGTGCAAGCACAACGACGTGTATCATGACCAGAAACAGAGCTCAAACGTAGCAAGAGTTCATCATCGGAAGCTGCAAACTCGTAATTTCGCTCCAAAAGGACGATCCCATATGGAAAAGTTGCGCGATCAAAATGGAAAAGTTATGGACATGTGCGTGCAGCAACTGAGATACAGCGAGTCCAACGTTCCTTGTCAAGAAGTCAAACATATGAAAACAATGATACCTTGCAGAACCCTGTCAGTGGAACGCCAATTCGTGCGAAAGATAAAACAGGCAAGTGCAGATACGAGTAATTCGACTGACGCAAGAGGAAGATAATTATCTGAGAAAAGGACTGGAAAAGTTTGACATGCGCTGGACTTGCATTTTCAAGTGCCCTCTCCACAAATTTCAAGAATGCAGAATACCAATGTAATTATAAATGATTAGTCTACAAGTGTATAAATATATTGTTTTCTTTCAACCGAAATGTTTTGCAACGTTAATTAATCGGAACATGCGGTTCCTTTGATTGAATTTGATATTGACAGAATCGCAAGGCATTGAAATGCAGATAGTATAAAGTGAAATAACAAAATTATCATTCACGCCTCCTTATCCGGTCGTTCAAAATAAAAGTAAAGAAGGAACTGCCATGCAAAACCGTAATGAGTCACTGACATGAAAAGCGTCCTTTCTGTAATATTTAATCATTTGCAGACGTTTATATAGAAAGGCCACCACAAATTAAGTTTATGATGTATTGAAACGTTCCTTAATTAACGCATAAGGAACCATTCATGCATTAGTTCCGATAATAGAGTACGGAAAATTAATGAACAAACGGTTGCTGTTGTTCTTTTGCTCAAAAGCGAAATATAAGTTCGCATTCATGGCTCTTTATTATATAGGAGAACAACTGAATTGTTCCGAAAATAGAGTTCCTAAAATAAGGAACGAATTTTTGCAGTTCCTTTACAAAAACAATTAACAATACATTATATAGGCATGTAAAGAATCGAATGCGTGCAGTTCCTAAACATAATCGGTCCATGCATTAAGTTCCATTCACCACGTCCCAATAACCAAGACAAACAACAGCTTATATCATACTTGACCGTAAAATTGCTTCGATATTTGCTCATTGCCACGTTTATGGTTTGATTAATAGTACAGAACACACCTAACCGTATAGTGTATACGATCCCGTCGAGGCCTTTTCGCTTATAGAGAGACAACTTAGAGATACAACAACCGAAAATCAATCACAATTAAGAACAGAATATAAGGAAATGTCATAAACAATTTAAAGACATATGCAAAGACTTAACGATTAGATTAATATCTAGCGATAAATCAACCACAATTGCGCAATGGATTAATTCTTTCCATTAGGTATAGACATGGTGGCATGATACATTTTCTGAAATATAATTTTGTGCTAAAAATATTCATACTTACATTAAATATTTGAGAGACTTGGTCATTTGTTCTAGCAGGCTTTCTCAAATTCCGGCTACAGGTGAAGTACTGGCGTGAGTTCATTGGACCGACTTCTTGTAGATTTAAAAAATTAATAGCCTATAAAGCAAACAAAAATTCGAAATTAGGAGAAAAATTACAAAGAAATCAAATGATGCGTGAGGTCACAAGGCACGAACATCAAAGCTTTTTGCGATGTTGTATTTTTGCTATACTAATATACAAATTAAAGCAATGATAGCCAATAAGTAAATTTATAAACAATATAAAACTCTGTTATAACGTCTATAAAAGATGTATTAAAAAAGAGGTAATCCAAATTTTTCGCGCTATTGTACGTGAGCTACTCATTCTAGTAACGAATTTTTTTCGCATTCGGAAAGATCAGGCTTTTAACTATTGAATGACATGCTTTTAATACCAAAATAAATAGCGAAAAAGGAGCAAATAGGAGGTTGATAAAAAAAGTTGGTAAAAATAGCTTATATATTTTATTGAAAAATTCCGCTTCTGAGTAAACTCGCCGCACATGCATATTAAATAGGAATAAATCACATCAGAAGAACATTCCAAGCAATGCAAATTTTTTTCATTTCTTGTTTTCGTGCGTAGCGAAACTCTCGAAGCATATTTCCGGTGTTAAAACTTAATTGCCATTTCGTGAAGCTAAGATATCTTTAAAATTTTCCGTTTGTTGGAATTAAGAGCCTTTAATTTTATAGAGTGCTCTCCTGATCATGGATTTATCGACAAGGGAAACGGTTAGTTTATTATCATATATATTAGGCTATACATGCATCTATATTTCTGACGTTTACGACAGACACTGATGCATTAGGAATCCATCAATGTCGTTGGTATCATCCGTCTTAATAATTTATATAATTGTCCCTTTAGTATTTCCCACACAAATCCTGCTTGTTAGTAGATAATATATGGTCTAAATTATATAAATTATGGTGATGTTATAATTATGAATACTCAGCAGTATTAATCACCTCCTTTTTTGATATTTCATCTGATTCTTTCAAGAGTAAAACACTTTTATCCAGGGCAGAAATAGCCACACGCGAGCCAGGTTTGGCTTTCATAACAATTGTTGTTTTTTCCCCGGGCTTTTTCTCTTCGTCGACGAAATTCACATACAACTAAAAATAAGGCAGCAGTTAATATCAAGCAAACTCTGATCAATCCCTAAATTTCAGTAATTCTTAACAACAATTTTAATATATTGCTTTCATTGATTGGTATTTATAGACTCATTGTACGTGAATTTCATATTTGAGCCCATCAAATCACAGGCAACAGAGACATGCACCGCTGGCGGACAGGGCTCATATGTGATGGCTAAAACTAGGTTGCTCCTTGCAATCACACTCGGTTATATATCTACCTCTCTATTATTGGAGAGTAGGCATGATTAGAGCTCTGAGAAGGACGATAGTTAGATGATATAATGCTATTAGGGTACAATAATTATTAAAAACAGGTAAACATTTTAGAACTCTCAATCCTTATGCACATATTTACAGTGGCGTAGCCAGCCTGACGATTTTGTCCCTCTATGTAAATTTCGAGTTATCATAATTATTCATGTCTTTAGAAATCTTTTGTTTTTACAGTCAGTGAACACCAAAATATTAGGATAGCGGGACAAATCGACAGGCTGGCTACGCTACTGCATATTTACTATATATTATACGTATATTTTGTCAGGAGAGCTACCTAGTATGATAGAAAAAATAGCACGTGCCTTCTGTGAGGGCGAAAAAGCGGTTAAAATAAACAAATAGCAAAAAAACCCAATCATTTATTGCATCTCATGCAAGAAAATGTCGTTTGCTTTCGGTGAAAGTAGAAATCTCTATGAACAAGGTTTAATCAAAAGCGCGAGTCTGTTAACTATACCAGAATGACTCTTGTTAATAATTTTAGTATTTTTTCGTCTGGGATACGCCTCCAAGATTGCTTGCTATTGTTTTCATAGTTCACAATCATACGGCGTCTCCCTGACAACGGTTCTTTTTGGTTTATTTTTCTGTGTCATTCTCTTTTATAACCCGAGGTCAAAACGTCGATAAATATTTTGTGTATATTGGCAATATTTATTTCTTATTTCGTGCAAAGCTTTAAAACGCGCTCACACGTTTGGCCTAAAGCGGAATTTTTGTTAGGTACCTGATTCTCAAGTTTATCTTCCACGTCATAAACAACACTGTCACCGATAGTCTCCTTATCCATCTTGACAAAGTATACTAAGATTCTGCAACTCGGAACCATTTCCTGAGTAACATTGAAGTAAAGCTCAAATTTATTCATTGATCTTCCAGCTATGCTTCTTCTGTTATACGTAAATTGTCTATGATTACGATTCGAGGAATTTTTCAGAGTTTGCCAATCCTGTGTTCTCCAAGTAACGCCAGATAACAGCAGATTTCCTTTACACAAAATCTTTAAAACGATGAATAATGTAATGAGTCTGGTTACGCGTTTAGCAAAAAATAAGTTGATAATCTGAAGAATTGTGTGAGGAAGATTAATTCGAAGAATTGTGTGTTACAGCGAGTTCTGCCTAACATCAATATACTCCCATTAAACAATCCAGTGCCAAATTAGTTTAAATAACCATGTCGTGATCATATTAATGGTGATACATGGCTTAACAGCTTTTCTTCGAATAGTCATTATGTACGACGTTAAAATGTTCGTACCTCGTTTAAGTGAATGTTTTATAATTTAATATTTAATAACTATACTTTGTAAAAGAATGGAATATTTCTTCGCATGTTATCAGGGACAGTGTAAAAGACTTTCACAGATCCTTCGCTTCCGACCTGAAAGAAAACATTATATCATCCTAAAAAATACTAATAAAAGTTGAGAAAAAAATTGGTGAAAAGCATGCATTGCGGAGTACATATATATAAACTTAGTGTAAGCGGTTTGATAAAAAGCTGTAAATACACTACTGATCAACCGAAATAATAGCGCGTGCACACTATATGCGTAAGGCGACACGTTCTCTACTATGTGCTTATGCGCATATGAATATTTTACAGAATATGCGCAATATAAATTTGAAATATTATTATTATTATTATTATAACGATCGTCCATTTTAATAAGAAACAAATTTTAGACTAATAAATTCCCAAATCCTAGCTTGCCTATATAAATAGTTAATATTCCATTAAATTTACCTTCGCAGGTAAGCCGTGATCAGGTAAGACCAATTTCAAAAAACAAACTTGGAGAGTACCAAGAATTGGAAGTTTTTACTTTCAACAATTGGTCTGAGTTGTAGTTGGCCTAAATGTTTAAAAAATAGCCTAAAGTAAGGCTACAGGTAATAAATTTTAATTCCAACTTAAAAAGGGACATTTGCAGCAATACCACATATATCCAAATCTTATTTACGAAATATATTAATATATAAATATATAATGAGTTCATGAATAAATTGAACCTATATAAAGTGAACCTACAAAATTTTTCTCGACGAGATCCTTCTTGAAGTAACATATGTACGCAGTTTTACCCGCGGTTAATCGCCATTTTACAAAATAAAATTATTATAAATCATATATATCATCCGCATCGATTTCACAACTATACGGACTCTGCATGCAACTGCTCAAATTCAAACGCAAATTAATCCTTGTGAGGATTAATTAATTGTACTAAAATGTTACAAGATTTGATAGCTGCATTAGATTCGGATTATAGCATTACCGTAAAGGTGAGTGCCTTTGCGTAAGGCGACACGTTCTCTAGGGGGACAACAATCACACCGTTTGCCACAGAATACCACCTGCGGAATATTTTACTTGATGTTCGAACATTGTGCTGACGTTCAGACACGTCAACTCGTATTGTTCCATCAGTTACAGGTGTCCCATCAAGGTATTTAATCTGGACCTAAAAACGAAAAAAAATTTTCTCGTGGACACCGTGGTGCGGATATTTTACGTATGTCACGTTTAAGGGTGATCGACATAATGAGTTTCCCCCCCATTTTCTTTGTTGTTGCTGTGAAAATATGGTCTTTGTCTGGTTCGTATATAAAACGAGATTAAAGTTGGAAATACAAACGAAAACACTTAAAAGACATATTTAAATAAGTAATATTTATTCTACTTTAATGTTTAGGCTATAATTTAAAAAAACATTAATTAGCTTTTGTAACGGTCTTTCACGACTTATTCTTCCGCCGATAGGAAGTGGATATATTTCTTCTGAATATTTGTCAAACAAGGCTTTGAAATGTTAATTATCACTGAAACCTTTCTTTAGATATCACTTCGAATTCCCAAAAGCAGAACATTTTTCATTCAAGCAACCATATTTAGCAGAAGATAACTTTGTTATTTCTGTTCGTGCTGATTCTTTTAAATTGTAAACGCTGGCTTTAAAGCATATATTCAACAACCCCCCAACTAAGTATTCAAATCGCTACAAAGTTTATCTTAAAACAAAATCAACTACCTTAAATTTTATTGGAAAACCAGGTTTAAATTTCTGAGGAACATCAATTAGTGACATGGCTTTAGACTTCAACACCATATTAGGACTTCGGGCTGTTTCTTTTATTTTAACCCCAGTAGAGATTTCGGTAAACATAGCAGTAATATGTAAATAATATCCAACAGGGGTATGTGAATTGATTAGTTCTTTAGCATCAATATGAGCGCATCCTGTTATCTAAAAAATAAAACACATAAATATTAGCTACAGGTTTGACCATGAAAGCCTTAAAAATAGATATAGTAGAATAGTAAAAATAAATAGTAATTCACCTATACACGTTTTGAAATTTTACTAAAAAGCGTCCTATAGATGGTAAGCAGGGGTGCCCATAAGTAACGGAGGGGGGAGGGTAACAAATTATATGTTTTTGACTTTTAAGTATTATAAATAACATAAACTAACTATTTTGTGCCGTTTTTACTAACGTTTAACGATCTCCTATTTTTTTCCGGTCGGTCACGATTGTCATTGTTTCGTAATTTGCAGAATGACGTCACTGCCATAGTGTTCGTATTCAAAATGCGAACGAATTGTAGTAAGGCTTTTGTCACGAACTAGTGGCCATGATTGAGTGAATGCGCTCCAATTAAAGGGGCTTTATATCCATGCAGTGGGGGGAACAAATATAATTATATACAGAGTAAATTCACTATATTATTACACCACGAAATAAGTGCGGTGTTAGTCAACGTATGCAATGCAACATGTTTGAGGTTTTAGCGCCTTCTTTTGCTACATGTACGTACATTTTTGGTTTCTTTCAAACAATTTTGTTCCACTTGGTTGTTCTTGAGACACAATGTTGTTTCCAGTCGACCAGTAACAAATTTCCCGTAAGTATACCTTTATGAATCAAACGTCAGAAGAAAAAATGAAACTTTTAAATTGACAATATCCCAATTTTCGCGAGTTATAACCAAAAACGAATTACGAAAATGTTGGCATAATGAAAGTAGTTATCACAAAGGGGTTCCAGTTATACAGGGTTGTGGGGGAAGTCAGGAGGTGGGAACCCGTGAGAAAAGGCTAGAGGAGAGGGGGGGGGTTGTGGGAGGAGATTGAGCGGCATGCGGGGGTCATGGGAGGACGGGAGAAGAATGAGGGACATTCCAGCGGTTTTAATAACTTTTGGTTCCTTTTTAAGCAAACTATGAAAAATCAGAACGCAAAAAAATTCTTAAGCTACTGCAATATTTGAACGTCAGAACCTACACACACTAAGTGTTTTTGTAACAAGTACAATCCTAACCAAAAGTTACCTCGCACATATTGTAAAAACAATTTCCCGTTGATCCAATGCAAAGTATGCTGGTGGCTTTATGTCCAGTTCAAATTTAGGAAGAACTAAGTAAAGTAAAGTAGAGCAAAATTCTATTGGGCTTATAATAGATTTATAAATTATTTTGGAATGCTCTGTAGCTACTAGAAGGTTGCAGAATAAATTACTACAGCCTATAATTTGAATCGCATTAGCAGACTTTAAAAAAATATTCAATATGTAAAAATATTATTTTCAAATCTATAACTAATAGCGTTGTTATTAAGGTGTTTAGAATTTAAAATTAAGCTATGTAATTTATTCTCCACACCCATAGATCCGTCACTGGTCGAATCGTTATTCACTGATTTCGGAAGTAAACTTACCATACTTGTCAATTTCGATAGCTTTTGTCACCGTCTTTCGCTAAATACCAAAATTCTTTTTTTTAAAATATATCACTGAGATCATCAAATATCATGCTTTAAACTGCTGCCTGCTTATACGAAAATAATGTACGTACAAATTTTGCAGCAATTACATGCAGTACTGTCCCGAAATAACCTAACAAAAAGCGCGGTTAGCCTAGGTCAAACCTCGCTTCAAGTGATGTCAGACCGAGGTCGAACCGTGGTGAGAAAACTCGCTCTTACTGAGTAACTGACTCTGACAGAAAGAGTACTTCTTACCAAAATCAAGCCGGCTTTTGTTAGAATGCGTTATGATGAATTTACGATTTGAATGCCTGAACCCTTCATTTTATAGTGTCATTCTTTACGTAATGAAAAGAAATGTTTCAACAAAAAAAAACCTTTTACTTACACGGCTGTTGGAAATTAGAATCATCTCCCCCCCCCCTACACACACTTTTCTGTTCATATTTTGAAAAATCTCAAAAGCGAGTGGGGGACTCGTCCTGGCGATGCCACTCCCTGAATTTGAATGCTTTTACCTAACTACATACTATGCTATTTCACCAGTGCATTAACCATGCATTCAAATTTTAACAAAAGATTAATTTCAATAAGGGGTTCTTTTTTGATATAGCCTAATTAAGACTTTTTTTCCTTATTGCGAAGGGTTTCCCAAAAACTCTTTGTTTTATTAAATGAGTAATTGACGTCAACATACAATAGTAAAGTTGTTGGAGAATGCGATCTTTCATGCTGTATTTGCTTGCAAAATGTAAGGGGGTACGTTTGATTACAATTAACGTTTCGCACATTTTCAAGACATATTCATTAATTACATAATCATTTTGTCCTTTTTGGCCTTTTCAGGGAAGCGACGCCACTTGCTATTCTTAATTCTGTACTGCGCAATATGTATCGACGCACACACATCAGTAATAATTTTTGAGAGCATGAACTTCTTGCATGCAAGCCCGTTATTAATATTTGCAACTTTATGATACCTCAAAGGTTACTTTGATAAGCCATTTACCCAGAACTGGCTCTTTTGACAGCTGAAGTTCCAAACTACCGACACCTAACAATTTTAATAATTTTTATGATATCATTATAGCCGCATTTCTTGATCAAAACATCATTTCGTTACCATTTCATTGCAACAAGTACAAAAGTAGTTTTACCGTCTTGTAGTTGAACATCGGTCCATTGCATAATCTTGGAACCACTTGGTTCCTGTGTGACAAGAAACACAGAGAATATTTTTGTTAGACTGTATTTCGTAAGTTAACGTAATAGATTTCTGCCAAAACAAAGGCACTTTACAGTCGATTTACGCTGCATTCACAGTCTTCAGCTACATTTGAAATTTTTGCTCTAGGGTTTCCCTCTCATCGCCGCTATGAATGTGTATTGTAACATTAATATTATATTACTAAACCAGGTATGGTCGTTATAACAACTCACTTATGCTAAGCGTCGATAATGTAAAAAATAAAGTAGGTATACATACCTGAATTATCACCGAGGAAACCTATTAAGACGAAAGAATAGAATGCAATGAATCTATTACTTCTAATCAATTTAGAAATTTTATTGCATGAAAGGGGGTTATTGAGATGGAAATTTTATATATATTTGAAACGATTCGTATGCATTGTCTATGGTGATTATGGGTTTCGAATATGAGTGTTGTAGTTTTAATATTTTTCATCCGTATGAAAAATATCAATTATACGAGTTACGATTGCGTCGAATACCTTAGGTCCAGCGGGCCTCATTTCAGCATAAAAGAACGCTTAAATGATAAGATTACTTTTCATTTCTTTTTTTTCTTCCTAATTATCACCTCTCAGCTAATTGTATGAATTTTACAGATTGTATTCTCTCCAACGAAGAAGCAAGAATTCTGAAAAACCTTTTTGTCCAGGTTTATAAATTGGTTTATCGGTTTGAATGAAGACTTTCTTTAGCGGAGAAGCTTTGTACGAAACTGCTTTTCTCATTGTTCTAACTCCACACACTGTAGCTTCAACCTTTGCAAGAGATAATCCTTTAGGTACCTGAAAAAAAATCGGTGTCAAAATGCCGATTGCGATAGCTACTTGGAAAAAATTTCGCTCGATCTGTATTCGCAGTGGCGTATGAAGCACAATAATCGGAGGGGAGGGGTGCATATTCATATATTCATGTTCTGTCTGATTATCTCTACAGGCAGTTAAGAAGTGGCATATTTTTTATACTTCACTTGGAAATTTTTTCATTTGATTTGATTTGAATTTCCTTCATTAAAATTTCAGAACAGGCATAAATCAATTTTGTTAAATGTGTTTTTTGCGGATTAGAATTTGGGCGACTATATTGCCAACCTGAAGCTCCAGTGTTCCGGCTTCATTTGGTTTAAAATGACCTCTAGCGCGGCTCCTGACGACATTGAAGGATGAACCGTACAGTCTGACCTCCACATCACAGGATACAGTACCAAAAATATTTATTCCCAGCTTGACATTTTCACCAGCACGAAAAACTCTCGGAATTGTGATCAAATAATCACCATTACCTAACGCACCACTTCTGTAAAATAATAAATATTATATTGCGTCAAGCTGTTTGTCCCTGCCCAAGATACCATTTCAGACCTAATTATTTTGGCCTTTTCTAAAAAATCTGCGTCGTTTCTGGGTCGTTTTTGACGTCCACACGAAAAGATGAAAACGATTTGAAACTATTTGTTCTCTTGTTTTTAAAAACACGTGGACGTAACCTGTACCATGAAGAGATTAATATTATCCGTTTTTAAATATCTCCAGATTTGTATTTAGCTATGTTTTCTGATGTAGCAGGTTGCAAGGTTGAGTGCCGGTCTTTGGCCTGTGGTTTGATATTTTTATTGGACAAAATAAGAACTCTTTTTTCACATGCAAGAATTGGCCCTATATGGCTTGTGGAAAAAACCTTTTAGCTAAAAATGTTTCACTTGAGATATTATTTTTCTAAAAGTATACTAATAAGCTCAGGGTTTCTAGCTTCTCTAATCTCTCTTTTATGTGTATAAATCAATGTTTTCTTATGAATAGTGAATTTAATACATTTGATCTTGTTATATAGGTGCTGTGTATTTTAAATGTAATGGGTTTATTCCTAGTCACATGACTATAAATAAATGCAATGTTTCCCGCCAGTGAAACAAGTGAAAAATGATTGCTCGCTTCTTGTCACAACAAAGTAAAGTGTTTTTTTAATTAAATTGTTCTGTAACATGCATGTTTTTGTTCTTATATAAAAAAACCCTTATTTTACATTACTTTGGGTGGGAAATAGTGAGTTTTGTTTTACTCTTTTAGACTCTTCGAGTCTTAATGTTTCCCTCGACTTCCTCTCGGGAGACATTCAGGTCTTGGGAAAACAAAACTCACTATTTCCCTCGGGAGCTTACAATTATTAAGTGCATGATAGCCAGCTCATGCACAGTTAAAGGCTTTTTCAAAATTTTTTAGTTTAGAGATTTTTCTTTCAAGGTGATATATATATATATATATAATTATATATATACAGTAGGAGGCAAAAGTTTGAGTCCAGTCGTTGTAGAATTCCAGTATTAAACCCTGGCAGTGTATTCGAGCTAAGACATGCGTATTAGTGTTTCAGTATTTTAAACCATATTAATTACACACTGTTTTGGTCCTAATGATCTAAATCATAACAAAATAAAGTTCTTATTCCTTTACACTGCCCAAGATGGGTGGGAAAAAGGGCAAAGTGATGGTGCATAAGGACAAATAGTTGCATTAAGTATTGAAGGATTCTTTCCTCGCAAGATCGCAGAAAAAGTGAGAATTTAAAAAGGTGGTATGCAACTAACCTTGGAGAGGTTCGAAGAAACTAAATCCTACTCAAGCAAACTTTTAGCTTCTTCGGTCATGCTCGGTTTGGCAATATTGAAATATATATAGGATCCTAATTAAAGTAAAGTATCATCCAATTCTTCAAGGACATGGAATTTCATCTGGTACAAGGATGATCGCGTGTCTAACTACATGATAATCCCCCTAAACACCTGCACATCTTCTATGTGCCAGAAATCTTTTAGAAGCAAACACGTTTTGGTGCTCTCGTTCTCATGGCTTTCCACCTCAAATTCCAGATCTGAAACCTATCGAGTACTTGTAGGACCGTTTTAACCGGAAAAGGGCGAGGCACAGGCCCGCCAGCCAGAATGACTTGAGACAAGTGGTCAACGAATGCTGGCAAGGTATTAAACGTGCGACATTAAAAAACCTATGGAATCTATACCAGCAAGAATAAACGTCATTTCAAGAGCAAAAAAGAGGGACACTAAGCATTGACATGAAATGCATTTTTGCACATTAACATACGTAAAATGAATATCATAACGTCTCATAGTTGTTGTACAGCATGTATTTTTCTGTTTACTCGTGTACTTTTTTGTAGTTCACTTATCGGTAAGGTTTTCTGTAGAATATTAATATATGCTGCTAAAACAATGAAATACAGTCACTGGACTCAAACTTTTGCCTCCTACTGAATATATATATATATATATATATATATATATATATATATATATATATATTTATATATATATATATATAATATATTATATATATTATATATATATAAAATATAATACTTGTATAAACTTGGGTTAAAGGTAACGTCAACTCAAATCTTGCTGCCACCTTGTGCCAAGCTTTGTTATCACGTGTTATCCCATTGTATACAAACGAGAAAACTTTAAAAACTTTAAAAACAAAGTTTATTGACTTTATCCTATTGCCATTTACACAAAAATGACGTACAGTGATCACGTCTCACTAATTTCCCAAAGTTATTAGAGCCGATCAGCCTTATTCTATCCTGTCACCCCTTGCAAACACTATGCGTCATTAGCCAGCATGTACCAGCATGTGGAAGTCATTATCCGTGATTCACAGCATGATCAGATTAAAGGGAAGCAATTTTCACTTTCATAGGAAGACATGCAAAAACACACATATATATGAACATTTGCAGAATTAACTGCAAAACGACATTTAAGGACGAAACTCCGTAATGTCAATAACAGTAAAAATCACTGTCGTTTCCAACTTGGCCTTGTAGCTCAGACGGTAGAGCATCGTTCTAGAATAGCGAAGGTCGCGGGTTCGATTCCCACCGCGGTCAAGTAGAATTTCTGCTTGCCTGGTTGGCTATACTTATGAAGAGGAACATATAAAACACACAACCTACACACATATATATATAGCTATATATATACATTAGCGAGGTATTGCATTTAAGGGAGAATGAAGCACGGTATCAACTATGAAATTTTTACTAAAATAATCAAATTAGCCTTATTAGTTCTAACCAGTCACCCCTTGCAAACACAAAGCGTTATTAGCCAGCATGTGCAAGTCATTAGCCGTCATTCACGACGTGATGAGATAAAAGAGAAGCAATTTTTACTTCTATAGGAAGACATGCAAGACCATCAGATTTGTGTTTATTATATTATACGTGAATTATCCAGTGTGAAAATGGAGAAAAATAGGACAAAGCCAAATTGGGAAACCGTAGCTACATCATTTGCTCTCCATACAGCGAAAAATACTATCGTTAAGGTTATTTCGAACTTAGGAAAATACTAATCGAAGTTTTACATTGTCAATAAATAGACTATAAAACCATATTCAATACCGACAATTCGCGTGGTTTTTTGCAAAAACTAAAAGTCAGTATTGGAACATATACGGAAAATCAAAAAGAAGAATATTAAACATTGAAAAACACAAAAACCCCCGATTTCGTTTAAATGCAAGAAAAAGCACAATTATAGATAAAAACGTGTGGTCAATAAGTTATACTAACGTTGAATACAATAAAAAGGCTATCCAGCTGTTTTTACTGCTATAGCTACTACGAGCGACCTGGGTCAAAATGAATTTCAAGCTAAATAAAATTATTATGAAGCTAGGGTAGGCGATATGTAGACAATATGTAGAGTAGGCGATACGCTGAAAGCCAGCATCAAAGCTAATATTTCATGCCTAGTAACACAAGAACAATTTTCTTAGAGGATGGGGTCAGAAAGCCTCACTATCCTCTGGGTTATTAGAGAAAGCAGTTGTTTGTTCAAGCTGTTTGAAAATGTAAAAAATCTTTCCAAATATGAAACCAAAAGTACATTCCTACACTATAGTCTTTACATAGGTATTCAAGGCAGTTAACAGAGCATATAGTTCTTTTTATTCGAACTATAAACATTTTAAATATCCTGCTCAAATTGTTTTCAACATGTACTTACTTAATAGTATATTTTACATGAATCATTGCCCAAGCGATTTTTAACTCGAAATTTAATAAACTTTTAGCCTATGATAATGAATTAAGATTGAAACTGTCCATTTTGGTGCGCAATACTTGTTTAGCTCTTTGAAATTAACCCTTCCTTTCATATCGATACAAAATTTTTTATTCAAACTCAGGGTTAAATTGTTAAGTGACCCTAAAATACCTATAGTTCTTGGTGTTCACGTTCAAGGCTTTATTAGACGAAGTGGCAGACGCATTCAACGGAATTTTAGGAAATAGCAAGTAGTTTCTTGAACCGGAAAATATATATTTTTCCCGCGTGACTATAATACCTGTCTATAGCGTATACGTCTATAAAAACATATACAAACTGAAAGCGGATTCACGTTTTGATGCGATGAAGCCGAAGCGAATAAATTATACAGTATAACGATATATATATGAAACGTTTTAGTAATGCCGCGGACAAACTAAGATGCTGCTTAATCCCACTGGCTTCAGAAACGCTCCCTCCACATGCAGCAATGAGCAATATAGCGACAAGCAGTCAAGCAACTGGCCATTGGATCATTTGGATGGTTGGTGCCGACCATAAACACAAGGTTTTATTAAACATAATAATACCTGCTGATCTACTAAATTGAAGTGCTGATGATGGCATTGGCATACGCTTTCAACAGAGTTTCAGGAAAGAGCAAGTAGCTATTTGAACCGGAAAATAATTTATATATATATATATATATATATATATATATATATATATATATATATATATATATATATATATATATATATATTTAGCAAAGTATGCCTCCTACTTATAAATAAAGTGGATTCACGTTTTGATTTGACGAAGCGATATAAAACCTTTCAGTAATGCAGGACATCGAAAGAGACGCTGATACCTAAATTAAGTTAGCGCTTTCAATATGTTTAAAGTAAGCTAGAAAGTTGTTAACTCATGTCCAATCGAACGCTTCAACGCTTTCACGTCGCAATTTAACCCATGCAAGTTTATAACCATGTATTATTCACACAATTAATTTAATACGACTAGTATTTAGCTTAATAACGATTATTAGTTCCATTCGATACGTTTTACCAAATGGAAAATGATGCAATCAATGACTCACCTTTCAGGAAAGGTTGAGAAAAGATGAAGAAAAAATGTCAATATAAATGATTTCATCGTTAACTTTTGCCCAACCTTTGCTGTTGAGCCGTGAACAATAATCTGATCATGTTCTTAAATAAATGTAACTTTATATGCCTATTGTCACTAATAGAATAATCACGTCTCGCTAATTTCCCTTTTAACAGACAAAGTCATCAGAGCTGATTAACCCTGATTGTATAATGTATCCAGCCACCTTTTGCAAACACAATGCGTTATAAGCTACAAAGTTCACAGCATTGTAAGTATGTGTGGATTGATTAGCTTTTCTCCCGCTGCGAGTAAGCCAGTTAATTAAGAAGTAAATATTATTGTAGGACAGACAGAAATGTCCAGAAATAACCGAAACGAAAACCGCTGTTAAATCTTGGTCAAATCTTGGCCTATCATTTTTGCTAGGGCTGCTTTCCATATACCTGTTTTTTAAACGCACGTATACACGCACGTGAAAGTCAAAATCCTTACCCATGTCATAATTATTTGAAAAAGCTATGTGAATAAATCGAAATAACTCAGTTTTCCACATACTTTAGTATGCATTTGTTGACAAATGTGTTATGCATTTGTTGACACATGTATTGCATGTAAGTGTAAGGAGTAAATAGAGTAAGTAACGAGTGTTTTCGCTTGTGCTTTGGCCGGAGAAAGTTTATAAACGAAACTGAGATGAGAGCAGTCGTGAAGTTTTGATCGAAGAGGAGAAGGCAGAATTTGCGTACAGACCTTTAATTTTGATCTCCCAGAATATGCTTGTCGTCGTTTAGTTTTATTGGGTATACAGAATATACATGCAGTTTGATTTAACTTTGATGAGTACACAACAGATGCATGTGCTGTCCTTTAGCTTCGATTGAGTACGCCTAGAAAGGGTACAAACAGACTGACACTGAAACAAAAAATACGTATGTGCACATCACAAATGACAAATACCTGCCCTGGAGCTATGCAGGGTGCCCATTTTAAAACGCACTATCATTACAGTTTTTTAATGTAACGTGTCATATGCCAGAAAACGGCATTGGCAGTTGACAGAAGATATAGTTTGATTTTTTATGAGAACTAAAAAACCAAAACACTGATTGTATAGTAAATATCCTGCTCAAATTGTTTTCCGTATTTAGTTTCACTTTACTTAGCCATATAGTACGTACAATTTCCTGTAATTTCATGCATGTTATATATTTATTACAGATTAATCTGAGATTAATTTCATGCTATAAACAATTGCGCATTTAAGCAAGGGGCACACGACGTGATTTTTCACTATGCCTCATAAGCCACAAAGCTCACTGCATGGTGAGATTAATGGGAATCGATTTTCACTTTGATAGAAAGCTGGTCTATTTTTGGCGCGAATAGACAACAGCTGTGGACATTAGCATTTCTCCCGCTGGGAGGGAGTCAGGGAGTTCGCATTTTGTGAATTAGGAAGTCAATATTGCGCCTAGAAATTAAAATATTCCAATATTGTTGTCCCAAACCGGGATCGCGTATAATGGATCGGCGTGAGCAAAGGTTGTCCTATATTCAAACAGTAGACACAAAATGGTGCAAATCATAAAATCATTATTTTCTCCAGGCCCCTTCCCTTTCTCTTCGCCGCCTGCATTAGGCGAAGAATTCTTGAGCTGCAGCTATCTCGGTTATTTTTTAATGGCTGTTTGATGGGCTGGATAACGTAAATCTATTCAAATCGTTTCGAGACTGTTTCTTCACAGTGTTGCATTACCATCACGGTTATATTTTGTCATATGTAATATTATTATTAACTCGCATTGCGTATGCGTGTGCAGGCGAGTTCTTAAAATGGGAAGCGTTCTTATTAATATTTTTATGTTCGAGAATTTCGCGACCCGCAAGGTGCGATAAGGTGCGCTCACCTGCAAGCCACGAGCTATGCAGGCGTGGTTGCTAAGCTAACGTGCATGCTGCACTGCTGAGTGCATTCGTTCATGACGTTCATCGTTTTCTTGTGGACAAAAGACGATAAAAATTCAAGATATTTCGAAATGTGGCTTCCAAGTGTCATGTTTATCTTAACGCTGACCTTACATACAACTGCACACGCCGAGCACAGTAGCCCTACACTAAAAGATGCCGAGCGTTTTCGAACGGGGTGTTCTGTTGCTCTCATGCTTTCAACTTCATATCGCTATGAATTCTCTGATCAAACTGAATACAATCTCAAATCAATCTCACGAGTTCTCACTAGTACTATCAATTGAAAACAATACAACGACGTTGTCAATGAACTGTGTCATGACGTGCTACGAATATCTGAACATAGCCCTACGAATATTGTCATAGCCCTAGCTCGACTCAAGCAATGTCAGTTTAATGCCTAGCGGGCATCTTGTTTATTATATAATATGCAGTGTTTTATTGACGAGTCCGCCATTTTGAAAAGCGATAATAACGCATGTGCGAATATTCATGATATTAAAGCCGGTTTTCCACTAGCGATATTTTTCGCGCGAAGCGACATTTTACTTTTGTTTCAGAGCTCTTAACTGCAACCATCTGGAACAAATACAAAGGAATAAAGGCGGTTTTCCACTAGGCGGAATTTTTCGATCGAACGAAATTTTTCGCTCAATTTTCTTTTCAATTGTGAGAAGTCGACCGAAGCGGATTCGCTTGACCGACCACAATTGAAAAGAAAATTGAGCGAAAATTTTCGTTCGATCGAAAAATTCCGCCTAGTGGAAAACCGCCTTAAAGTCGCTTCGCGCGAAAAATATCGCTAGTGGAAAACCGGCTTAAAGCCGGTTATCGTGTTTGATCCACCGATGTGGAATTAAGAAGGGGGATAAAAAACTTTTCAAAAAAAACAGTTTTTATTATATAATAAGCAAAATAATACATGGATGCTTGGAAATATGGAATTTATTTCTCGTGTTGAGAAAGATATCTCACTCATTCGCTGCGCTCACTCGTTCGATATCATTCTCAACACTCGAAATAAATTCCATATTTCTGCGCGTCCATGTATTATTCTCTATAATATACTCCATCGAGTTCTACTGATGGATGGATATTATTTATAGACTTTTATTCCATTTTTTTGGTTGTTTTTTAAAATTGTGTATTTATATTCATTTACTTTTAATTCCTGTATAGCGAATCCTATCGTGCAGATAGCTTTTTTTAATTTTTTTATTTTGCATTGCTTCAAATCGACCGGTATGATTTGCAAGCCTAGCTCACAATTAGCTACAACTCATGGAGCAGTTCTATTTATTTATTACTGAAATGAAATGGCATTATGAGAAAGTATGTTACCTAAAAGTTCCGTTCAATCGGCAAATAATAAAAGCTATCGTTTTTAAATTAAGAGGGAGCGCATTTATCTAACTACAATTTAGCCGCAGATCTTGATGAAACATCATTAATAAGCTGGAACTCGGAACATTAGACTTGTAGATTGGCGATCAACTCGATGTTATTTAAACTAACCGGCTGTTAAACAACTGGTTACTAAGCTAGCTGTGATAGCCTGCATATCCTGGAGTTCTGCGCACGGGTACCCTGAGGAAGTTAATTGAAGCAAAACAATATGACACCTACATTCTTTGCTGGAAAAGCGTTCAACCAAAAGTGACAGCTTATAATAGATAATATTATTGCCTGATTATTATTTTGAAAATATATTTTGCTGCTCTGCGTGTACGTTAAGTTTAAGGTGGTGGCAAAGGTGGTAGGAATGTATCCTAGCTTTAGTAGCTAAATCTCTGCATGCCCCCGCCACAAAAACTGTTTTCTTCGCCCCGGCATGCATGAATATAGTGAATTAAATAAAGTACATACTTCTTTATTTTCTTGTCGAAACCCTTAGCTTAGATCGAAACTTTCAGAATTTCAGATTTTTTTGCGTATAATAGCTATTTGATATAGCTATATATATATATATTTACACAACACGTATATGATGCTGAAAATTGTAAATCAAAGATCTAATAAGGTCTGGGCTTTTGCGGTCGAGTTGACAATCAAATAAAACATAATAATAAAAATTAAAGACTTCGCTGTGTATACTGTACATAGTGGAATGATTTGAAGTTGGATTTCAGTTTTCCAGCGCAGCGTTAAATGTCGTCCTCTTTGCGAAACACCATTTTGATAACCTCAAGGCTATCCATTGTAAATCCGACGGTGTTATATAAAAACAAACGATTGTTGTTCCTGTCTCCTGAATACGTTTGCGGCGATAAGGTTGCGTTAAAACCCTTTTAGACCATGCGTCATATTTCCCACGAACCGAAAGAAGCCTACATTTAACAGACGCCAAAACGCACAGTTTGTAACAAGTCTGTAAATAGTTTGTTCACAAGCTGACAACAAGATGTGTTCACATTGCTTAATCCAAGTCAGTGTAGCTTGCGACAAGCTGTCAACAAAATGTCACATTGCTTGCTTCTAGTTGTTGTAACAAGTTTTGACAAGTTGTTGACAACTTGTGGCAAAGTGCGGTGACATTTAAATTTCAAATTATACTCTTAGGCCGAAGTTACCTCCGTCGGAATATTATCATAAAGTTTATAATATGTTACATGTTTGCAGGGAGTTTTTTAGGTGTATTTTATCATCATGAGAGCTTTATTTAAGTCCCAACAGGAGGGAAAGTAAAGTAAATATTTAGCTATTTAATCATAGATAGTTGCTGGGAAATCATAATGCACTTGCGAATTAATAAGCTATCTAAACGTTATATTTGTAGTTTGGTGGCATCTCGGCTTTAATTAAACTGACTGGATGTTGAAGAAGGTTGCTTCCATGCTGTGTTGGACGACATATCCCGGAGTTCTACGCACAGTACAACCAGAAAGTTCATTGAAGCGGAACAATATGACACCAGAAAAATATTCAACCAAAATACGAACTGCATGAATATCCATAACTATTCCTATATTCATCACTAAAAATATGCTTCAATTTTATATTTATTTCATAATAAAAATGATCATTTTGAAAGTGAATCATACTGATGATGAAGGCCTATGCAAACATCTTTCATTTCTTCTCATTTGGGTTAAAATCAATCATCCGGATAAATGACATCAACGCTAAAACATTTGAAAGCTGAAGTTTTATAAGATGGGCATGTCAGAGATAAGAAGCAATCCTTCTATCTTCGTCTTCGCGCCGGTAAAGTTCTTTGCAGCGCAGTATCTGGATCACTGTTTTTCCAAAATTTAGGAGAGGAATTGAAGTTATTGTTCACAGAAGATAAAGTAAGGGTAACACTGCCTTAACAGTCCAGTCCACTGCATGAACATTTTTATTCAAACTCGATTGTTTGCAAAACTTATCAACAGAGAACGTAATGCTAGAGATTGCCGTAATATAATTATGTAAATTCAAAGGGAAATTATTCATTTTTTACATTTTACTATGAAACACGTGTGATTGTACCGTTTAACAATTGAGTATAATGAAAGTGCATTTTTTCGAAGATTTAGTTGAGTTGATAAATTTTATTTTTAATTTTTAGAACATCAACGAGCGAGGATAGAAATATGAACTGCGCGTTTGTCTTAATGTTCGTTGTTCTCGTTCCGGGAGCAATTTCAAGTGTTGCAGTTGGTAGGTCGTCAAACACAATGCAAACATGAATATTGTAGAATAATATCTCTATTAAAACTTAAAAGTTGTAGACGTGTTAGAACTGGTAACTAACCAACGTGTGATTGTTTAATCACAAAATTTTGGGAAAAAGTATTTCAAACTATATATTTGAAATTTCGCGAAAACTGTTTGTATGTAGTACATTCATGCACAATTGAATTTTATAGCTCGAGTTAATTGTATTTGATTTTACTCATGTGACTATAGTTTTGTCTTTCACTATACTTCTCTTGTTATTTAAGGGTTAGAGACTGTTTTAGCCGAGAGCAATCTTGAACTTTTTAGTTCATTTTAAGTAAAGAAAATACGAACATTATAGTCTCTAACAGTTTTAATATACAATCTGAGTTAATTGATTGCTGAAGATCCAATGTAAGAGCTATATTTATATTAAGAAATGATATTAAAAAGACGTTCAAAAAGGAAATCAAACGGTTCAACAATTTATCATCAAAATTATTTAACCAGAAGAAATTTAAATTTGGCTTCTCCACATTGTTGTGTCATTATTGTATTTTCCAATTATACCTTTAAAGATGGATACACTCCATAATAACTTTGCTTTTACGGTATGGAATCATCGATAAATCACGGTTTTCATTGGTTGTTGCGAATAAACTAGGATTCCTATGATCTGTCGCCAGGCAACAAGAAACAACGTGGTTAATTTGATTGATTGAATCCACGCGATGATTGTATGATTAAATGCATATGCAAAAAAAGAGAACTGCATTTCACAAGAACTTTTCACTGTTGAAAATGCTAGCATTTTATATTAGCGCCAAGGGACTTTGGATGCGTGTATTTATAGTTAGAACTGAGTATTGCTGGATATATAGATACTGTAGTAAATATACTGATATCTGCCCAGTCCAAACATATTTATTTGGCAGACCCATTCAATTCGAGATGTTTACAAAATAAAAAAAATAACAAAAAAATTAATAAATCTCAAACTCAAAACATTCAAAACCAGCACATGCATATCGCAATATATAGTTTGAATATGTACCTCCCCGTTTGGTTTATAGTTTGTACCTTCGAAGTATGGAAAAATTTTCTGAAACTGCCATCTGCTATCGACTCTTCCTATTCTTCCCTAAAACTAGAATTTCCCAGAGGAGCGTGGGTCCTTTTTTCAAGTTTCAAAACAGTATTATAATGATTTTAGGTGTATAGTTCTTTCCTTTTCTTTCTCATTCTAGAATATAACTTTGAAGGTTCAATTCCGAGCGAAATCAGCCCAAAAACCAATTTGCAAATCACCACAAGTCGCTTCAAAAAAGGATCAAAATCACTGAAATGGCAATGGAGTGCGGCACAGAAGCTGACTTGGGATCTTTCCGCAAAGAACGTGCAAATCAAAAGGAACGCTGGAATACAAATTTGGGTTCATAATTCGGAAGCATTGGCTAATAAGTGTCTATCTATCTGTGTTCGGCAATTGCAAGATTCCAGTGAGAAAAATTTTTGTTTTCCCTTTTCTCTCAATTTTAAAGGCTGGAGAGGAGCATGGGTATCATACTCGGAATTTTTTGGATGTTCTACAACATCATCTGCATCAGTCCGCGGGCAACAAAACTACGTCGGAAAAGTCAAACAGTTTACAATTACAGCTCCTTCCGGCGTAACATCATCGAAAACCTTGCACATTGACTTTTTAAGATTTCTTGATAAGCTTCCCACTGGAACACGAGATTTAATCGTCCCACCTCTAACATATGTAGAGTCAAACCAAAACTACTGTACGAGTTGTAGCAAAATATTTTCTGGTTTAACTCAAGAAGATGCTTTGTTAAGACACAGGCGAAAATCGTTCTGGCATCAAATATACCGTTGGAGCCTACAACCTGCGTATCCCTCATTACCCTCTACAGTGGATTCCTCAAAAATGACCGCTATTACTGAAATAACTCGACGTTTAATTAATTGGTACGCAAGTGACACCCATGCATTTACAACAATCCCTCACAGTGTCTCTACAACTGACTCGTTTCTTAAACATCGGTGGGACAGTTTGGTGAAATATTTTGACGATGCACGAGTACAATATCAGAAGTTGTTAAAAGGTGGTTCGACCACTCCCAATTCTGGATTATTTTCACGAAATGACAAATCGAAAGCTCGCGGTGGAATAGAAGAATTTTCGTTCGTTCACCATAGGGTCCTACTTCCGTTGACGTTAGAATTTCATCTTAAGTCGCGTACAGTCGAGGTCGAACATGTCGCCTGTGAATTCGCTAAAAAGTATAACTGTGATTCCGGAAATACCCTCGCTGATGCGGATGTGGAAGCAATTACTGGCAAAGATGCTTCATTAAAGGCGTCTTTTAGAGCTTCCTATAGCCGTTCGTTTGATTCTACCAGCAACGATATGGCTCCTAAATGCTCAACAGTAAAAAAAGCCTGCGTTGAACATGTCAAGGGAGCTTTAGAGAGCATCAGTAATCTTCGTAAAACAAAGATAATTGGGCTTATGAATTACTTAAAAGATCAAGGGTTGAGCAAAGGAAGTGCGCTTGGCTCCATGGACCACGAACTCCTTCAAATGACGGGCTTTCTGCATTCAATGTTCTTGATGCGAAAACATCTCGCTTCAGACATGGTTGAAACGATGAAATGGTATGTGGAGTTTGGAGAGGTTTACCAAGAAACGTTTGAGTTCAAGGGCAGTACCGCGGACAGGATACGAAGTGCAATGTTGTATCGATTGATGGCCGTGCTTGCGATGCCTGAAAGTAATAAGGAAGAGAAGACTAAAAAGATTCGAGATATGGACGCATTTAAAAGATGGGTTGAGAACGCCTTGAGTGTCACTGAAGGACTTTCGGGACTTGTTAAGCCAGATTACACGGTTTTCCATCACAAGACATTTTACGCCTCTGCATATGGTCCTCAAGCATTGCATACAGTTGCTTTGATTTCTTCCCTGCTGGAAGAAACAGCTTTTGAGTTAAGTAGCCAGATAAAATTGAATATAATCGACTCATTAAAAGTCCTTCGAATAAGCGCTGTTCTCTATTCGACTCCTAGTTCGATTGGTGCGCGTTTTCCGCGTTATGATCAAGCCATTCTTGCTGAAATGGTGCCAGCCTATTGTTACATGGCCACGAAATCTCCTTCAAAAGACTACCTGGCCAACGGTGATCCGAATTTCAACTCTGATTTAGCTGAAGTTCGCATGTGTCTCCGACTCTATCAACCAGTTCCTGGAAGCTGTACCGGCGAATTAAATGAAAGACTTTGCCAGGGTAAAGCATCAAGGATTTACTACTTGAACACGCTGGGTTCTTTGGAAATCATAGAAAGAGTAAAACGCCTCGCCGCCACATACAAAATTGGCCCAAGAAAATGGTTTTATAAAGCGGAAGAATCACCAATAGGTCACTGGGCAAAACAGTTTGGATCGTTTAGCGTACATCGCAGAGATGACTGGGCAGTTTCCATGAAAGGTTTTGACAAGTTTGTTTGGGATTTTGAAAGTGGCAAGGATAATATCTATGGAATGTATGGCAGTCATGGAGCAATGCTAATAGCAAACAGTGAGGCAGCCCTGAGTTCGAAAAACATAGACAAAGGATGGGATTGGAGAAATTCCTGGTACCACTGCAGTTAACCTGCCGTATACAGATATGGCAACCTATAGCCGCAGTGTGCACGACAGTACAACCCGGCGGATAATGCTATGGCCGGTGGTTTGTTCCTCGAAGGTAGTAAAGGCAAAAGACAATCTCGGAATGGTGTATTTGGTATGGACTTTAAACAACCCACATATATTGGGGAAAAAAGTTCACCTTTTAAGACAGTTGATTTTCGCTTCAAGAAATCAGTGTTTTTCTACGACGATCTCATTGTATCGCTTGGATCAAACATTCAACACAATGGTCAAAATTATGAAGTTCATACCACATTGTTCCAAGATTTGATGCCTTCAACCAGTTCTTCATCCAGCAGCACTTCGTCTTCAAATATCTTTTCTTGCAATAATAATGGTTTATCGACCAAAACATCCTGGTCAAATATTGAACTGGCAATACTGGTGGATGTTAATGGAAACAGGTGAGAAATATGTATTTTCACCAAATACCAGCACCAGATATATTTGTAGAATTATAAAGAGGGAAATGCCAACGATTCCACCTAAATCGACATCTTGTTATGTATTCTCGCAGTCGACAAACTTTATTAATTGTGATGATAGATATATTTTTTAAATAATTATGTTCAACTTTATTATTGTGATGATAAATTTCGAAATAATGCAATCAAGGCCAGAAATGCAACCAAATACTGGTGTCAAATACTAAACTAAAAACTGAGTTCAAAACTGAACCGCATGAGCACTCACACCTCACCACTTACCTGCATTTCTGGCCATGGATAGTTTTTTAAGCATGGTAAGTATTTGCCTTCTAGTAAAAAAGTTTACAACTTTAATACACTTACGCAAAGATGACTATAATAGATATAAAACTAATCAAGGCATTATCAATGCTGGCAAAAGTGGTTCTTCATACATTTTTTTATGAAAACGCATTTGTTTTTATGCCGCGTGCTTACCATGATGCATGCATTAGCATAATGCATGATGCATGATGGCATAGCAATTCACTTTGAATGCAGTGTAGGATACACGCGCTCATCGAAGAAGGAGCGCTTTTTGTAAAGCGATATTATAGCATGATAGTTTTAGAAACAAAAATACACAAACTTTATGTATAAATATTTTCTATTTTTGAGACTTGCGGTGTAAGATAATTAGGTACTGTTATCTGATTAATGATCGATCTGTTATGCGCTTTAAAGGTATTATGTCCCTAATCCAGACAGCCAAGGTTTGGTACTTCATCGTAACCAAAGGCAAGATTCCTATAAGGCAAATAGAAATCCACCCGAAGCAACAAATGGCATGTATTGTACAGCGTGGTTTAACCACGGTAGAAATCCCTCAGGAGCAAAATCGAAATATGAATATGCTGTGCAAGTAAACGCAGAACCGTCCAGTGGTACAAAAAAGGCGCAACTCGTTCCGAGCAACAGATATCGTGTCATTAAGAAATCTGCAAAAACACATGTTGTAGAATTCAAAGAACATAACGGCAGAGGTCTTGTCTATGGCTACGTCGTCTTCCCTATTTCTCCTTCAAAGGCAGTGAGAGTAGGAAAAAGTGGTCCAATAAAATCTGTTTTACAACAAAGTATTATGATGACAGAGGAAACAACAAGTCCTAAACGGTTGTATATAAGCGTGAAATCACCCCAATTGAAGCTGGAACAAATAGATCAATCACCATCGTGGTGCAAGGGAGGAAAGACTAATCCATCGAGGAACGGAGACGTTGATGAAACTTTGCTGTATTGTTCCAAGAGCGCTGATCAATCTGTTCACATTAATTTACGCAAACCCAACCAATGGTCAAGATTACTATCTTTATACGTTGGAGGAAAAAATAAAACGGGTTCTAAAAGTGATTACCTGGAACGAGCAGAGGCCCCAAATCATAGCCTTCTGAAATTCAACAAACTACAAAACGGAGCAGAAACAGAAGTGGCTTTCCAGTAATATAATTGGAACATTTCCTCCATCTGTTCTTGAACAAAAGGGAGAATAATAACTATTATTTGACTAGAAAAAAAACAGAACTCCATGTTTGCAATTTAGCGTAACCTTTGTCCGTCTGCATGTATAAACATTACATTCTATTAGTGTAGTTTCAACATGAAATATAGTCCATATTTCCGCGCATCCATGTATTATTCTTTAATTTATTATAATTTACAGCTGTATCCTCTATAAAAAAGTGAACAGCTGAAAAATGGCGAGAGTTTCAACTGTTCCAACGTATCGACATAAGTATATGAGGGGGCAAAATAATTCTTAAAGCTTGCTGATTGGCTAAGACAAAAAGAGAGCATGCACGATAGCGTCAGCATTTTAACCGTCATTTTTCAAACTATATTTAAAAATATAAAATGAAATCATGGAGTGAAATATTACAACAATAATAAAAGATTTAAAGATCATCACAGCACAGAAACAGTTGGTGAAATAGGAACGACTCGTAGTTTACAATCTTTGAAGTGGTAGGTGTCTATATTTTGCTTATTCAGTGTTTGCTGTAAGAATGCATTGTTTTTTTGACAAGTACGAGCTTGGTATGTCGTTTTGCAAGGAGCTAACTGACCGTTTAAGGCTTTACATCATCGCTTAAACTTTAAAAAGAGTTCTCAAAAGTGTACTTCAGAGTTTTGATGAAACAAATATCACTTTGCAGCTTATATAGTTGCTAAAATCATTGAATGAAATAAATAATCGAAAAACAACATTCGACGTTTAGTGCTTGTATTGTTTATTATAAATATTTGTGCTGTTTTGACGTTTTGAAGGTTTAGCTATAGAAAATTTTGACACTCACTTAAACTGCAACGTAATGCAGCAGGCCATCAGGTGATTTCTGTTCACCTTCACGACTGTCTTTGTTTCCGAAAAATTTGCACGAGTTATTTCATAATATTAGCGTAGAAAGTTAGGTCTGGCTAGCTCAGGAAATATTTTGCTTCGTTCAAAATGGCGAGGGGTTGCTATATATGCATGTATTTCTAGTAAAGTCTTGCTTTCCATCTTCGGGTAGTTGAGTCTGTTTACCGATCTAGACAGATGTAATGTTAATCGTTCCTTATATTTATTTACCTTTACTAAGTACATGAAAAAGTAAGAAGAATTAAATTTTTCAACTGGAATTTTGTAACTTCTTAATGTTACTTCACGCATTTTTGCACACAAAAGTTTATGAGATGTGTAATCGAATTAAATGTCACCTTTGCCATTGAGCCATGGCTATGCAGGTGCTTTTTCCGCGTTTTATATACACTCATTTCCGCGTCTTACACCCTTTTTCGTGTTTTACCCTCTTTTCCACGTTTTACCCTTTTTTCCGCGTTTTCCCTCATCTCCGCGTTTTACCCTTTTTTCCGCGTTTTACTCCCTTTCTTGCGTTTTACCCTTTTCCGCACTTACCTTTTTCCGCTTCCGCAATTCCGCTTCCGCTTTTTACTCTTACCCGGAGAGAAAGTGATAAAGCAGTAGTAAAAATAATGAATAAAAGTCTGGCAGGACTGTTACTAAATTAAAGGAGCCGTCGCTAATCGCTTTTCGTTTAAATATTTTCCATGTAACCTGTAACATCGGTATCGAGTTCTCTTAAGATCGAAGGAAATTTTCTTCAAGGCCATTTTTATCATAGTACGATTATTCATTATTATTATTAATATTATTATTCCCTCATTGTAGGCTATCACGTATCACGCGTTCTTATTGGCTACGGTATTAGTGCGATATTAATGATGGACTATAATAATATGATAGAGGGCTGACTAAACATTATAAAAATGTCACTGAAGTAATCAGAAAATGAAAATAAACTTTTTGCAGTTACTTTTCAGCTATGAGAGTAGAAATATAGGTTTAGCTAACGGATTTAAAAAAAATTACTATAGGTGCATGCAAGGTAAACTATAACGGTTATTACGTTCATGACATTGATAAGTTGTTCTTCCGGCTTAAAAATAACATTTTTTGCCTTTTCCTAGCTTGTGCTTACATCCCTTAGATATCTTTCTCCCAAACTTGTCGGTGAGTTCTACCGTGAGAAAATCTGTTCCTTGATAACTCCAACTGCCAATTGCATACATTTCTCTCTTCGGCCCGGACAGCGCAGTCGTTATGTCTTGATGAACTTCTTGACCATTCTGCCATCTTGCGGAATGTTTCCCTACTAATTCAAAGACGGCTTTCCACGTGCACTTTACGTCGAGCGGTGTTCTGAAGAAATTGATTAGAATTGCTTTTTTCTTTGGTACCTTAACCGAGACTTCCGTCTTATCAGGTATATTGTACATTTTCGTTTTACTAGCTTCGATATTAAAAGAGGTTGCGGCAAAAATTTCACTCCGAAAAATTGGTTTTGTCCCTGCTCCAGAAAAATCACCACTAATGTTTACAGATGTTCCAACATTTACAGCCAGAGACAATCCAGTACCGATTTTAAGTGATGATCTAGTTGAAAACGTTGTAAACAATTTGGTGCACCTGTATGGAATAAAAAAAGCTGAGCATAACAACGGATGGCCAACTTTAACTGGACGAGTAGTTTTGGTGTCGTTAGGTGGATTCTTGTCTTCAACGATGAATTTTAGAGCATTTAGTGCCAACATGTTTGTATGTTCCGAGATATCCGCGCACTTATATGTGCTACTGTCTGCCGATTTATCCATTGCATTCATTGAGCAACGTTTAAAGTGTCCGGATGCATCTTTCACATTTATCGCGAGATCAGGTCTTTCAACCCACGAGTCTCCATTGTAGGCCCCCATCTTACAACATTTAAACTCTTCCAAGCAGTACAACTTTTGGCACGACGACCTATATAGACCCGTCATGTAGTATCCAGATGCACACGAACTCCACCCTTTGCGATCAAACGAACTCCAGACATTGTGATTGTAACAGTTGCCCCAACTCTTTACTTGGGATTTTGGTCGACAGCATTTGGCTTCTTCTATATTGTATAAATTATGTCCCGACGTTCTATAGAGTCCTGTCATGTAATAGCCATTTCCGCAGACAGACCAACCCTTGCGATCAAAACTTCCCCACCAGTTGTGGTTGTAACAATCTTGATCTTTCTTTGATGGATACAGATAACCCGGCGCATCGACACACTTTGCTTCTTCGAGGAGGTAAATAGGGTCGGACCCAGATCGCGTGTTCCGATACATTCCTGTCATGTATGTGCCACTTCGACACAATGACCAACCTACACGATCAAAGCTTCCCCACCAGTTTTCGATGTGACTTTGTACACCAGGTATTGTAACATATGCCTTCATGTATCTTCGGTATCCGTTGTTTGTCTCCCACTCATGACTGAGTCTACGAAGCACTTGTTTAGCGACGTCAATGTCGCCAACTTCGCTGACGGAATATGCACTAGGTCCACCACAGCAGCTTTGTGGTCCATGACAGGGTGACCACGAGCGGCATTTGGTTGTGCATCGACTTTGCTTCACTTTTTGTCCGTTTGGATAGACATTTCCACATTGACATTCATCGCCTTTTGTCGCAGCCAAAATATATCCCTTATTTCTGCAGGTATCTTGACACATAAGATTTGAGTTGTGACCTCCCATTTGCTTTGTCAGGCCTGCAAATGGGAATGAAGAAAAACATCCTTCTACTGCATTGTAGTTTACTGATCGTTTTTTCTGAATTGTACCACTTGACGTCGATACCGCAAACGGTGACATGAATGTAATCAAAACCAACACTTTTGGGAGGAACATTTTCAATCTCTATCAATAAAAAAGTAAATCATGTTGAAAGTACATTCCATTAGAAGTTAAGTTGGAAGCTAAATTTATAGGCTAAATTGAGTTCGTTGCATTTAAATTTCCCGCGAAATCGAGTATTTTAAGTGTAAAGTTCATATTAACGGTCGACATACATCATGGCAACCGCTAAAAGAAAATAATAGCGATCAAAATCACTCTGCGGATTTAATGAACTTCAACTTGATAAAGTTTAGACAATATTTCGCAACTTGTTTGGGCTGAACTTCGCCTTTGTTTTACTTATTTTTCGAAACTTTTAAGCTTGGTTTCATCGTTGTTATCATAGATTTCAGGATAGTTTCATTAATCTTTTCGGCTGCTTTCGTCGGAGAAATATGGAATAGGCCAAAAAAAACGCAGGTGAAAAATTAGTTTTTTCCAAACTACTTCGTCTGACGTTTTGAAAATGTATTTCATTTTTCTTCTTCTTCTCTGTGCAAAATTTGGCGACATCTATTTCGTGCAAAATCTATGTTTTTGTTATAAAAAGTATTAGAAACTAAATGAAAAGTGACAGTCAGATTATATAATTTTCAAACCTGATGACTGAAATGGTTTCATTAATTCAAATTTATTCACAAAGATCACTGTATTTTTTATCTTTATACCATGCACAATGATACTGTTAAAATGGTAAAAAGTAACTGACTGAAATGTTTTTGTTTATTTCGTTTTGATAAAGGACATGCATACGATGCATGGCACCTGAAGGCCGATTTTATTTAAAAGTCGAATTCGAATGCATCTGACGTTCTCTATATTTTGTGTCACTACAAAACACTAATCTTTCTATCTACTACCGTGCAATAGATGCATGTTTAATAACCACCGGAATAGTTGAAAAGAAAAGGACACCATTATAAAAGGAAAACACTTCCGAATTTTCAGGTTTAATACTTTTTTCGCCTTCGGCTTTGCCATCATGTTTTGTACATCTTCAACACGGCTGCTCGCATTGTGGTTACTTTTAGCATAATATTGTGGGAAAATAAATATTAAATGGCAATTCAAAATAGATAATGATATTATGTCTTAGTTATGAATATTTTACCGTCCATGTCATGCATGAGTGCCAAGTTCAAAAGTTGTTTTGCTTTTCAGTCGGTATGCATGACATCACATGTACTGTAGTCTATATACACAGGGAAAATAAACTAAAAAACTCCGTTGTATATTATATCTCTTATAGTTTTCAGTGGCGTAGGAAGGGCCAAGATTTTTCAAGGGACCAAAGGTGACCTTTTTGTGAAAAAAAAGCCTTTTTGGGAAGCGAAAAGAAACAAAAAAGTATCTACTATTTCCCAATAATCCTTAAATTGAGAGGGATTTGCGGCCATTTCAGAGGCCTATATCTCAAAATTTTCTGGGGAGAGCATGCCCCCGGACCCCCCTAGCAGTAAGAAGCCCAAGAAATACGAAAAATGCTCTGCGGTTGGCGGTCTCTGAATTTTTCGTCCCCTATATATATATTTTTATTAACCATTTTAACCGTCCTTTTTATTAACCAAAAGTGCCCCTAGAAGCTGGTGCCCCCCAAACCTCTGGATGCTTCCTACGCCCTTGATAGTTTTTGCCAACAGATTTCTGCTATTTTTTTTTTGATGAGTTGTAAAATTGCTGTAGAATTACAGCTTATTGATCGATAAAATTGGTATAAAATAATTTTAAATGAGAAATGTGAACATGGTGGTGGTTCGACCGTGACTTTTCAATAATTTTAGTCACAAAAACATAAATTTTGCACCAAATACAGTAGGGGGCTAGAGTTTGAGTCCAGTCGTCTTAGAATTCCAGTAATAAATCCTGGCAGTGTATTCGAGTTAAAACATGCGTGCTAATGTTTCAGTATTTTAAACCATATTAATTGCACACTGTTTTGGTCCCAATTAATGATCTAAATTATAACACAATAAAGTTCTCATTCTTTTTCACTGCCCAAGATGGGTGGGGAAAAGGGCAAAGTGATGGTGCACCAGGACAAATAGTTGCATTAAGTATTGAAGGATTTTTTTCTCGTATAATCGCAGAAAAAGTGGAAATTTCAAAAGGTGGTATGCAACTAACCTTGGAGAGGTTTCGAAGAAATTAAATTCTACTCAAGCAAACTTTTAGCTGCTTCGGTCATGCTGGGTTTGGCAATATTGAAAGATATAATAGAATCCTAATTAAAGAGAAGTATCATCCAGTTCTTCAAGGAAATGGAATTTCATCTGGTACAAAGAAGATCGCGCGTCTAACTACATGATAATCACCCTAAGCACATGCACATCTTCTATGTGCCAGAAATCTTTTAGAAGCAAACTCGTTCTGGTGATCTCGTTTTCATGACTTTCCACCTCAAATTCCAGATCTAAAACTTATGAGACACTTTTAGGACTGTTTTAATCGGAAAAGGGCAAGGCACATACCCACCAGCCAGGATGACTTGAGGCAAGTGGTCAACGAATGCTGGCAAGGTAGTGAACGTGCGAAATTAAAAACCTAAGAAATCTATGCCAGCAAGAGTATAAAGGCCGTTTCAAGAGCAAAAATAAGGGATACGGCTAAGCATTGAAATGGAATGCATGTTTGCACATTAACATACGTTTAATGAATATCATAACATCTCATAGTTGTTGTGCAGCATGTACTTTTCAGTTTACTTATTTACTTTTTTGCAGTTCACTTATCGGTAAGGTTTTCTATAGAAAATTAATATATGCCGCTAAAACAATGAAATACAGTCACTGGACTCAAACTTTTGCCTCCTCCTTTATATGTCGCCAAATTTTGCACAAATAACAGGAAAAAAAATAATTTTTTTTTTTTTAAAAATTGAGACGAAATAGTTTGGAAAAAACTAAATTTTAACCTGAGTTTGTGTCGGCCCTTATCATATTTCCCCCCAAGAAAGCAGCCGAAAAGGTTGATGAAAACATCACAAAAACGTCTCAAATGAAAGGCAAAACTCCTTCACCTAAAAAACAATTATAACAACGATGAAGGTATCGAAAAGTGTGTAAACGAAAGGCGAAAACAGGGATATAAAACGGCGAAAAGCTTTGTACTGCAGAAATACGTTTTTTGCATAATAAGCCTCATTATGCTTAGTCAGGTGCATCATATCTTCTCTGATTAAAGCTGTTAAAAAGTAAGTTTTATCAAACCTAATATTATATACTATTAATATTGAGAGTAGTTTGGAAAATCTAATACTCAGTTCTAGCTTTTATATTAAACTGAAAAACACTAAGAACTTTGCCCCCTCCCATGCATGCCCTACATTTTCATAGCTTAATAGAAGTAGCAGGTTTGAGGTCTACTCCCAGTGTATTTATAAACAGATTTGGTACATTTTTCTCACTATAACCTTACTATAACCTTTCTTCAGTAGAAAGAAATCAAGCTTGTTTATCCAGCACATACCATGGTTAGAAAAGCAGCACTTATTTATCACTAGCTATTTGTTTTCCGAACAGGTTGACAAGTCTTCACTTTGTTGTACATATATGACATTTTAATTGTCATTTAGCTTAGGGTTGTTCAATTGTCACATTGATTTGCATTGGTGTAAAGGCCTTCAAATTTATTTTGAGGAATTCAGCTTCCTCATTCATATGTCTGACTTTCATTTTACCACCGAAATATATTTTTGAGGATTCACGAAGAAATACTAAAATGATTTATTTTGCTACCAGTGCAATATCATCTGATGAATTTCATTGGTCCCTAGCTATGTACTGATGACTGAAAATTTTCTATGGCATGCTCATCAAGTGCAATTAATACTTGTTGCACTTAAACACAATGGAGTAGATACTGACAACCAGGGGTGCATAATATACATATTCACAACCCCTCGTTTTCAGTATCTATACTCCATTAATTGTGTTAAGGTGCAACAAGTATGAATTGCACTTGATGAACATGCATGCCATAATTAAGCTAAGCATTTTATAGGCTGGCCTTTGATTTCTTTCTTATAACTAGGAAAAGTTATGAACTCAAGCTGCTCAAACCTACTTACATTTCCAACTTCCTTTTCTGGTCTAAGTGTGGTATGATTAAAATCAGATGGGGCTGTTGCTGTTTATGTGCAGTGCATCCAACTGGCTCTAGTAGAAAAATGTATCAATTAAATCCGGTTACACTGGTAGCACCCTAGTCAGGCAACTCTAAATAGTAATATTACTTATATTAGGTTTGATAAAACTTACTTCAGTTTTAATAGCTTTAATCAGAGAAGATGTAAAAGCGCCTTACTATACACAAAAGAGCTGAAAAGAGAGTTCACTTTATAACTTTTTCACGGACATGGACATCACATTATTGATATTGATTATTGAATGACTTCAACTATTTGTCCTGTATTCCAAAGTGCATGTCCTAGGTTAGACAGTGAGGAAAAGGACGACGACGATCAAAGCGAAGAAAAAGCATCAAGTTTGAAAAATTAACAAATTGCGTGCGTATATTAGCAATGTAGCAGGGCTACAGAATTCAAGGGCCAGGCTCATTTTATCAAAAATTGACTGTTTTTATGGAAAAATGTTGATATCGAATGACACAATTTGCTTTTGAACGGAATTTATTTTACTGCTTCTTCTGTTTACATGTTTCTCATTCCGGGTTTTAAAGATTCCGGAAGTTCTCATTCCGGCTTTTAAAGATTCAGCAGATTCTCCTTCCTGGTTTTAAAGATTCCGCAGATTCCCATTCCGGCTTTAATTATTCCGGAGATTCTCATTCCGGCTTTTAAAGATTCCGGAGATTCTCATTCCGGGTTTTAATCATTCCGGAGATTCTCATTCCGACTTTTAAAGACTCCGGAAATTCTCGTTCCGGGTTTTAAAGATTCCGCAGATTCTCATTCCCCGTTCCCCGTTCTTGGCTCCCCGTCCCTCGATTACCCGCTCTTGGTTTTTAGGAAAAAGCGTAGAGCCTAACGTGACAATGCGGGAATATTTGTTTTACACAATAATTAATACAACTTTTTTGCTATCTTAGATTTAGTCACTTGGAATTATATATAAACATAAACTTATAATACTAAACAATGTCTATCAAGTGTATTTTGCGATGAAATTTTAGCTTTTAGGATATCCGTTGCGTACAAATATTGGTATCAAAATTGCACATCGCTATAAACTTTACGAAAACAGTCATAAGGTAGCATTCCAGTTATTTATTACAGTTCACTGGTAATTCGTAACAACCGAGTAGAATATGTACCCTCCTAGACGCTCGCTTGGTGATAACAAAACAGTCGAACCCCAACCGTCCAGCTTTCACGATCCATGACATAGAATTTTGACAATAAGTATGACGAGTAAGAATAAGTTTGACGAGTATAGCTCCTACCTATATACGATGAAATTAACTATATAGCAGATATATACATACAGTATACATGCTAGTTTTATTTATTGCATGCATCTACTGATTTTCAATCATTGCTATCATGAAATATAGAAACGTTTTATATAACGTTTTTCAAATTAAACAAGACGTTTGCAAAGCGTTTACTCGAGCTAAAGAAGCTGCTTTTAGCCAAGAAAGTTTATAAATAAAAGTAGAAGACTGCAAAAACATCGCATGTTTAACTTAAAACGAGGGCCATCTTTAAGAGCGGAAGAAAAGTCCATATTGATTGCCCATGTCCATTTTAGCAACATGCTTAATAGCTTACTAGATTTTAAAATTAAAATAACACATGGAGTACAAAAAATATGCGCAGTCCGCCTTTTAGTTTTGATCGAGTTGGTCTAGAAAGGGTACATTCAAAAATACCTGGGCGCACATAATAAAACGCACTATTATATTACTAATTTACTATCATTCGGAATCATATGTATAATCAAATAGCTTCATAAAAAGTTAACATCGCCTGTTTCCCAGCTGCTTCAAGCTGGAAATTTATTAGTCGATGCCCCATCAGTTATAATTTATCGACTCTTGCAGCTTATAGTAATGGTTAAAAAATCGACCTTCAAAACGTCAAAACAGTACAAAACTTAACTCTGGAACTAAAGCGTCAAACGCCGGCTTTAAAAGCTCGGAATAGAAATTTTTTAAAAATTAAATCCAAATTTGAACTTTGAAAAATTCTAAAAGCTCTGCTCATATGATGTGGAAATTTGAGTCTGAAATGCATTTAATCTAAATCTGAAATATCAGTATTTCCAATTGTGGCCTGCATGCAAATAGTTATGTAATTTTTATATCCTCTTATATACTGTACATACCTCAAAATCCTTATTTCTTTCTTTCTCCATCAGTTAGTATTCGTTGGGAACTCAAATTCATATGCCTGATAAAGCTTGCGTGCCAGCTTCTTTTAATGTCTGGGTTGTTATTGCGCAGAACTGAGTTCCGTTTCAGCTCCGTGATCCATATTTGGCGGCGATTATAGGTTAATAATCGCATGTTTTATCTTATCATTTTAATTTCCTAACAAAGACATGTATATTGAACACAATCAATACATTGCTATAAACTGTCTAACTTGCTATAAACTAGAAAAATTTCGTATGAGCACAGAAAAAAGGTCGTAAGATCTACGCGATTCATTTGACAAAACTTGTTCCTATAGTAGAATTAGAATACAATCATTATTTACCATCAGCCTACCGATTAAGTTCCGGCAGGGAGATTTTGGAGTATGTGAATTTCAATGACACATTTATTTCACTTATCAATCAGATTGAGGATATATGAAATAGATAGTATAGATGGTTTGATATCATAACTTCACAAAACAACCGCTATAATTATACTGTCATTGCTATCAATAAATACACAAACGGTATCGCGATGTTTCTCCACTCGATGAAAGCGTTTTAATAATTAAATAAGCCGAGTACGTAGCGAAACGGAGCGATACGCTAAGTTACGTTGTAACATAAAGAATACAGAATTTGTTAATTAGGAAAATTTTAAGATTGCAATTTTAACAATTAAATAGCACCGCCAGGAAGTTTATACCAATTTCTACATTCCGAAGCCAAGGTAAGCAACTTTAAATTTTTTAATGAATTTAACCACGCACCGTTTTTTATGTTAAGATTAGCTGTTAAATATATTCAAAAGTTGCTCAAATCAATGCCAAAGTTAATAATGTATGTTATAATTTATGCTAGATGTCATTAAATTGAATAATTTACAAAGCTTTTATTAAACAAATGCACGGTATAGCGTATTTCTTTTGCTACATGCCACGAGATCTTAAGGGTAAAAGGGCAGAAAGTTGTTACTAAACCAACAGAACTACAGTACTGTCTAGAAATAACCTAACACTGCGGTTGCGGTTCGGTTACGATTAGGTTGCGGTTCAGTAATTGTTCACCGATAGAAACTCCAGACGACTGCAAGAGAAAAATACCTTTGCAGTTGCCGTTCGTTTCCGAAGGAAATGTTATGAGCAGCTGAGAAGGACAACAAAATTACCAAATCGAAAAAATCTTAAGAATCTGTTAGACCGAGTTAGGCCGAGGTTCAATCTCCGTCTCGCCGTGGTTCGACCTCGGTCGGTGCTCGGTTTAACCGTAATCAGACCGATGTTTGACCTAGATTAACCGCGGTTTTTATTTTCGGAAAGTACCGTACATAATGAACAAGAAAGGTTCGAAACAACAGGAAATGAACTAAAGCATTTGAAACTTCTATCATGATTGTATTTTTATTGTTATTTTGGAATTCCAAGTCTGTCCAACGTGTCGTAAATCAAGAACAAAATCATACAACGTTCTTCACAGCAGTTGGCGGATCTAGGGGTACGTGCAGAATAAATTACACCAACTAATTTTAAATTCAAAACACCTTAATAACAACGCTACTGGCTACAGATTTGAAAACAATATTTTTACATTAAAATCTGTCAATGCGATTCCGATTTTAAGCTGTGGTAAGGTATTCTGCACACCCTTAGATCTGCCAGCGCTTTACAGCTTTATGAAAGGTTATGGATATGCTAGGTTCTGATCGCCTATTGTACAAGAACTCAATCAAATTCAAATCACGGCATCACGCAAATAATAACCTACATGTATGCACGCTTTGAAAAATTGTAAAAGCTTTTATTGTATAACGTGGAAATTTGAACGCTATCTTGCAGCAAATGCATTTCAATATATTTAATCCAAATTTTAAATATATTCGTAATTGTGGACCACATCCAAATGGTCGTGCACTTTTTATATCATTATATATATATATATATATATATATAATATATATATATTATAATATATTATATAAATATATATATAATATATATATATATATATATATATATTAATATATATGTATATATATATATTATACAGTATAAGCCTTGAAATTTCCTATTCCTTTCGTATAATTATATTCTTCAGCTAAGACTGGCCGATTAGTATTCGTTGGGAGCTCAAATTCACATGCCAGACATAGCTTGCGTGCCGGCTGGTTTTAATATCTATAGGTTGTTATTGTGCAGAACTGAGTTCGTTTCAGCTCCGTGATCTATATTTGGTGGCAATTATATGCTAATCGAATATTATTTCTTTTGATTTTCCTAGCAAAGTTACGTATATCGAATACAATTAATACATTCAAACTGATATAGCTGTCTAGAAAACTTTAGAATGAGTACAGAAAAACAGTCGTAAGATTTCACGCAATCGACAAAACTTGTTCCTGGTAGACTTAATAATCGTTATTTACAATCGGCCTTACCGATTTACAGTTCCGCTATAGCGGAAGTTTGCATTATTTTAAGTACACAATTCTCAGTTCTCAATCAGAATGAGGATATAATTTATATGAACCGATAGATGATATAAAAGATTTGGTATCATAACTTCACAAAGTGACAGCATAATAATATTATATACTTATGTAGTGTCACCGTATATAATGTGGCTCTTCCGTTCGTGCAAAGCCTAGAGGCTGGACAACGAAAATGGCCTATTAGTATAGAATATTTTTTATAAGATAATTTTTATATGCAATTCGCATAATATTCACTAAAAAGCACGACAGTGATGCAAATTATTGATTTAGACATGTTATAGAACGAGTTGATTTCAAGCTTCCGCCTACCATACAAATGAATATCTGCAGCATACGGCATAACCATGCAGCATACTCACCATTGAGCAAAGCTATTATAGTATACAAGCATGCAGCAATATGTTTATCACTCATGCAGTCTTTCAAAGAATTTCAACTGTATGATCCGATCAAATAGTTTCCCAAGCTTAAAAAAGGAATAAGAATGCTAAGATTTGAAGTTCAAACAATCTCTAAAAACGAGTCCAACAACAATTCTTTATGAATTATCAAATTCAAGTATAGTGTCGTCAAGTGGGTCTTTAAATTTTACAACATCCGCCCTTTGAAGGTTATAAAATAAATTATGTGCTCGATTCTGATTACCTATTACAAGAATTAGATCAAATTCATATTACCGCATTCCTCAAGTGATACCTTTATATGTTTACATGCATTGCAAAAGTTTTGCTCATATATAAGGTGCAAATTTCAGTGTAATCTGGAAATACGTTTGAATCTTAGATTATTTAATTTGCAAATAATGACGTCATTTTATATTCATACCTCGAAATTCTCATTCTTATTCTGTCTTCAGCTAAGTCGGATATTATGTACTCGTTGCATTGGGGGTAGGGAATGAAAAACATCTGACGTAGCTTGCGTGCTAGGTTTTTTAAATCTGTAGTTTGTTGTTTTCTAAAGTGATTTTCATTGCAGTTTCGTGATCTATATCTGTCTAATTATGTGTGGCGACAATTATAATTCACAGATAAAACTTGTATATTACGGATTTTTGACTGGTATATTGACAGCAGGCATTTGGCAATATTGCACGTTTTGGCGCCAGCGCACGCCTCAGGCATGCTTAATATTATAGTTATAACTATCAAATCTTATCATCATATTGTTGTCGCAATATTAACAAAAATATATTCTATATTTTGGTGTAAACGTGCCCTTTAGACTAATTAATGCATTTCCACGTTCATGCATTGGCGTCGCGATATTTACGTGCATGCATATATACTCAGAAATCTTGTAAATACATCGTGGTTATACGACAGAGCATGGACATGCTATTGCGGCTCCGAATATGGCCGAGAATACATTTGATAACTTGATAGCTGTCTTTTAGGCCTGACTTTTCCTAAAATTAAAATCTATAAAATTCCTTAATGATTTTTAACCTGATAAAATTGGAAAATTTTAAAGTTTTCTTTATCGTAATCTTTTAGGACATACCACTTATTAACCGAATTTGAGGTCCGTACTAGAAAAATATCAGACCGAGGTCTTGACAGTACGGAACGAGCGATAGCGAGGCCATTCGCCAAGCAAGCACTGTTCAGTGGCTAACAAAACTTTTTTTTACTCGTTAAATAAGAATGATACAGTAATATAAACAAACATTAAAGATGAATAAATATATAATATTTAAATGTACCAAATAATGCTGTTCTTTGTCCATTCTCCGTCGATATTTTTCGTGTCAAACAAAAAGTGGAAGCTTTTTTTGTTCAAAAATATGAGGGTTGGACCGTTACAACGGCAACAGTCTAATACTGGGGGATTCCAGAACGGCAAAGAACCAATCAGCGCACGCCAATTTAGTCACGAGACCGCGTGCCATATAATATAAATAGTTTTATTGCATATATCACCGCAGTCCTCGCTGACTTTTATCTAAAATTTTCACGTTTGCCCGTATTTTCGTTCACCTTTATTGCCGCCTTTGTTGGTTTCTCCAACACTGTTTAGTTTATAAATCGGAAAAAATCATATATTAGCTGCCTAAAACGAAAGGATCTCTTTGTTTTCATTTAATCGAATTCAGTGCCGTGACTGGCCGTCGCTAGAAGCTAAATTGGGTGAGGAGAAAGAGGGGGGTTTTATTAATCTATTCTCATATTCACATATGCCTATGCCTGTCTGATTTATTTTGTTTGCTATTCTTTCTACGGTTGTGCGAACATGAATATATTAATATACTCCCCCCCCCCATTAAAATTCTAGCAACGGCCCTAATCACATTAAAACATCGGTATAATTATGTGACCTCTGTATCAGGTCTGGTCAGCGAATTAGGTGCGCATGCAGGAAGATTCACAGTTGTAGAATAAAAAAACAATACAGGTAATATAAGCCATCCCATTGGCAACGACCTGCATGAGCAAACATGAAAATCTATGCCTAAGGATAAAACGTGAATCATTTCAAATTTTTCAAGTTATAAGTTAAAACTTATAGGAAAAATCTCTTCCGATAACTTTGTTATGAGCATAAGTAAGGAAATATTTGACTTTTACATTTTAATTTTTTTCTCATCACGCATGCAGATGATTAAAGATTTAAATAATTATCATAAAATCACTTTTCTTTGCCATTCTTGACCGTGCAAGCGTTTTTTGTATGTTGAATAAAATTTAAAGACTGCTGGAGCCATCAAAAACACATAAAATCTACTATTTCTCCCCTGGATCCTTTCAAAAATAAGTATATTAGTTCTTTAGTTAGTAAATGGTGCCAGCAACTTCAAGTTTTGAGTGAAAATGTCAAATTCCAACCCCAAGCAGAATACACGGCGTTTGTCTCACGTTTTCGGCACAGATGTAATTATCACATTCGTGCCATTCCAGGTATCAAGACCGCTCCTTCATGGACTTCATGCGCTCCTTGATAACCGTAGCTTGTCCATCCACGGACAACAATTGATTTCGCTCAAAGCTTGTATAGTATTCCGAACTTGGTATTACGATCCTCAACGTCATCTGTGATGAAGAGCATTTGACTTCCACAATCATCTGTCATGTTCTCTTAAGTAGAATCATCCACTAGATTGGTACACCATCAGCAGAACATAGAAATTCCATCCACGATCTTCGCTTGATATCACAAAACAACGTCAAGCTATGAATGTTTGCTGCTATAGAGCTTGAGATAAGCATGAGTGAAGAGCAGATTCAAGCAAATTACCTCACCCAGTTGAAAGGATCCTTAGCTTGGCTAAAAGCTTTGCCACTTGCGATAATGGTTCTGTGATGCAATCTACATGCGTTATATCCATGATCTTTGAAACGACTTTGTGCCTAAAATGAGCCTTTGTCCATCCAAGACATCATGAGATCAGTGATCTACTTGCTGTTGATATTGATGACGTTGCTTACGACTTTCAATTGAACCTGCCCTTGCTCCCTTGACAGGCGAGGTTCCTCCATCCAGTGCTAATTCAGCTGATGACGCCAGAGTAGACATTGCTGCGAGAGGTTTCTGGCAGAGATGTGAAAGGTATTATTTGATGTAAGGTTGTTTAACCCATACGCCTCAAAACATCGAAGCAAGACGTTGACCAGCTCGTTTAAAGCCAACGAACGGGAAAATTTTTTTGGACGCATAATGATTTTAGGTCGGCACTAGATCATAGACAACATATTCACAAATACGAAATCGCTGTAAAGTTTTTTTAGTTAACCCTAAGATTTTGATAGTATGAATTATTTACCAAGCTTTAATGAGGAAGTATCATGTGAAAGCTACCTTTTAAACAGATTTTTAAAAATTTAGCGAAATATAGCAATATAGCTATATATTGATTTTTTTTGGAGTTGTTGGTACGTACGAAAAAATGTTCTATAGAATCCTATAGAACAGGCTTTATCATATTCTAAGTCCTAAAGAATAATCTAAATGACCTCTTATCCTATAGAATGTTCTATATTCTGTAGCATTTGCTATATTCTAAAGAATTTGACTGCAGATCCTATAGAATATTCTGCTGTACTTGTATATTCGCATGCAATATCATGTTATATATATAATTATTATATATCTCTAGAATGTTATATACAGAATGTAGCCTTTATGTAATAAGGCAAATTAAGATAAATATAACATTTTAGGACAAATATGATTGCTCGAGAAGTCTGTTTTCATCTCTCTAGAAACACAAAAGCTGAATTAGGAATAATTTCTACCCCGGGGCTAAGAACTTCAGCTCTGGGTGTGAATATGCGCTTAAAAGCCCACGAATAACAAATTCGCATTTTGTTTTCACTCACATGCGTAAATGGCACAACTGCGCATGTTTGAATAACTTCAACCCTGGGTTGAAACGATTACATGACAAATTTTTCAGTCTCGGGGCTAATTTTACCCCAGGATTGAGATTTCAGGTCGGCCATGCAGCTCGGATGAAATTTCAACCCCGTGGCTGAATTCATCCCGGGGGCTAAAAATTTGTCATGTAATCGCGCATTCTATTTTATAGGATATTAATAGTTATAAAGGGCTGAAATTTCATCCCGGTCAGCAGGGCTGAATTCAACCCGGGTGTTGAGTATTTGTTTAGTATTCATTTCGATTTCGTATTATTTCCATTTCCCCAAAATACCCAGGTGTAATTTCAAAGCTCCCGGAGGAATAAGTGCACATGCACACTAGGCGCTTCTGTTAGGGCCAGCTTGAAGAATAAATTTCACTGTTATTGACGGAACTTCATATAAACTTTTAAACGTTCTTGCGGGATATCGTATTGTATCCTACTGCCTTTAATGCTTTCATTAGGTTACGAGTTATAGAATTAGTTGTTTGTATGAGCTAAAATGTGGCATTTTTAATAGTTTAGTTGATCAGAATATAATTTAGGAAATACTAGCTGAGAATATGTTGTTACTTCTTTGGAAAAACCTTCAGTGCATTTCAAATTTAAATCTGAATTCTGACATAAGAAATATGAAAGTGACAGAAATTAAATTGAAATTGATTAAAAATGCATTTACTTGGACGTGCTACAGAGGTTCTAATTTAATGACAACTTGTCAAATTAAAAACCAAAGCTGCATGGCCGAGGCCTTTGACTTGTATTGACTGACACACGTCTCATATCATGCCTACTTTTCTTAATCTAACAAACAAAAATTAAAATAAATTCTTTCAAATAGTCCCGATTTGTTCAAAATTGAATTCTGAATTATTATGTTTTACTTGCCAATATTTGTCGTTAAATGAATTCATTAATTATTGACTTCGTGGTTATTATTTTATAAGGATAAAACAATTTGCAAATGTCGGCATAGAAAAGTAATGAAACCTTTTATGATTATAATAAACCATGTCACTTTGGAAATGTAAGGGCAGGTGATCATTCATATTTTGTCTCGTTCATCTGCAGCATATAATCTACTGTGGACTTAAGAGTACTTCGCACACACGTAATATTATCAGATCGCAATCAACTCTTTTCGTCGCACTCCTTTTTATGTGCAATTACATCAAGTGAGTAACAATGAATATCGTTGCGATCCATTTTTTGTTGATGAAGAGTTTTGTTGATTTAATCACAGCAGAACAATCCCAGCCACGATTATACTCCAAAGGAAAATACGCTACTTTCAAGATTGTATCAAAATATGGTGAGTATGACATTTTGATGAATGCAAAAGATTTTTTAAATTGGTTACCAATGTAATGCGTTTGTCCCACACCTAAATATTTAGACTTTTTGCATTTCACGCCTGAGTCTCTTTTTATGACGAAATATTTTTGCGAATATTATTTATATTGTACGAAATCTAGGTTTTACCAAAACAATTCACCTATGGCTGTGTACTTTCCCTTATGCAGTATTTTTCGACAAAATGTTTCCCTGGGTGGTTTGGTAATCTTACAGTTGTCTTTTGACGGTGCCACACAGGCGAAATTTAGACTTGGAAGGATGTATTTCAAGCATAATATATCTGTTACATGATATGTCATTTCGTTGAAACCTAATCAATTATTTATAGGGGCGGGGCACATTAAAATTTTGTTTGTTCATCATTATATTCACTATATGCTCCTATAACGGTGTAACGCTGAGTGACATCTGCACGCTTGTAGTTTGGTTAAAGCATCTTTTTCGGATTGAGCGATAATATAAATTTCTGATCTCATTTTACTGACTTTTAACGTTTTAAACTAGCCGGCCGGGGAAGCAATGCCTAGGGCTTTCTCGGCCCAGCTTTCTTTGCGCTTCGGATTTAATTATGAGTTTAATTTTGTTCCGAAGCCGTCACCGTTATACTGTTATAGAGTCATGCTGTATAATTATTAATTAACATTAGCCGCCTTTGATACTTTAATAAAGAAACGCTAAATCTCCGGTTTGTGAAAAATAAGGCATGCTTTGGACTGTGATCTTATAGTACGTTTACACTTGAGATTTCTGCTGCGATTTTATGTGCGATTTTCTTCTTTTGATAGACGTGTGAACGAGTAATAAGTTACGAACGCACTGTCACCGATGTGTACGAGTTCCTATTTGAACATCCGTAACTAATTGACTCCTTCACATCTTTCAAAAGAAAATCGCACATAAAATCGAAAGTGTAAACTGGCCTTTAATACCCTTTGGAAAATCAAACTATATCGAGTTAAGTGCCACAAATTCGCAACTGATTAACGCTAACTGATCAGAAAATACGACTTCACTATTTTTATTAATTGATATTTCACCTACTAAAACTAACGTGCATGCCCATCAACGATCAGTAGCAGTAAATCTTCTTTTAACGTTTTGAATTTAATCTGCTCTATTTTTACCTTCCAACTAAGAAGATTCCCATTTTAATTTTGGAAGTTCGCCATAATATGAAAAATCTTATAAAAAGGGTTTAGTCTTTAGAACTTTTCAATCTTTGCGAGACATGAATTTGAAACAAAGAAGCATACTAATGATATACAAATTAGATACGGGGCCATTAAAGCACCCCGGGTCTCAGGTATTTTTCCTCCATGCTCCCCTTACTCTACATAGCTAAGTTACAGAGGAACTTTAGTAGTACCTACGAGTAGGAACGACAAGTACAAGATTTGTCATTTTTACGCCATTAGCCAAAACTCGTATTCATCGAACTTGTTGGTCAATTTTGCACTCGAAAGCCCTGGAGTTTCGTCATGTAGCGCGGGCATAAACACAGAGCTAGGCTGACCACCGACCAGTCCTGTTGAAGGGCATCTGAGACGAGGGCTAACGGGTCCGGCCTCCAACTGAAGAACTGGGGTAGCTGCGAGTTCAGACGATCGGCAAAAAGATCGATCATACAAGGCCCTCGAATCCGCATCAGGGAGCTGAAGATCTCCGGGCAAAGCTTCCAGTTGCTCGAATCTAGGAAATTGCGTGACTCCCAATCGGCCGAGATGTTCAGAGATCCCGCAAGGTGTTCGGCACTGAGGAAAATGTTGCGTGCCAAAGCCCATTCCCAAAGAGCTAGGGCAAGGTTGGAGAGGACTAATGACCGTGTTCCTCCCAGGCGGTTGAGGTACGCCACTGCAGAAGTATTGTCCATACGCAGGCGTACATGAACACAAACGGTCTTTCACAAAGCTCTTGACCGCAAACGAACCGGCCAGAAGTTCCAGACAGTTGATGTGGAGTTTCCTCTCCATCTGGGACCACAAACCGCCTGTTCTGACTCCCTGACAAACAGCGCCCCAACCCAACCGAGATGCATCGGTCTCGATTACGACATCCGGGGACGGGTGAAGAAGCGCCCGTCCGTTCCAGGCGTCCAAATGTGCTAGCCACCATCGAAGTTCGTCCGTTGCCTCCAAGGAAAGAGCTATTCTCGAGTCGAAATTCCCTTGTTGGGCTAGAGCTTTGTGTTTCAAGCGTTGCAAGTGGCGATAATGCAATGGGGCCGGAAAAACGGCCTGTATTGACCGTTAACTTGCCTATCAACTGGGATAACTCCCTCACTGAAACATCTTGCTGCGAAAGAAGAGTGGAGCAAATCTCTCTGATTGACATTACCTTGCAATCTGGCAGGAGCAGAGTCATACCCCGGGAATTCACGACAAATCCGATAAATTCTATTTGTTGTGTTGGTTGGAAACACGATTTCTCGGGGTTTATTACAAACCCAAGGCTCTCTAATAGATACTGAGCTGTAATCATGTCTTGTTGTAGACCCTTTTTGGACGTGTTCATAAAGAGAATGTCGTCCAAATAAATTATCAATCGAACACCGGATCTCCGCAGAAGTGCCACAACTGGCTTCATGATCTTTGTAAACACCCTGGGGGCTACAGCTAGACCGAACGGAAGGCATGTGAACTCGAGGAGAGAGTTTTTCCAAACAAAGCGAAGATACTTCCTGTGGTTCCTCCAAATGGGAATCACAAAGTACGCATCCTTCAGATCGATCTTGCCCAGCCAATCGTTTGGCTGGAGTAAGTCGCGCAAGAGATGGATCCCTTCCATTTTGAAGTGATCGTACTGAAGAAACACATTTAGATCTTTTAAATTGATTACAGGACGAGAATTTCCGTCGCGTTTTGGAACTAGAAATATACTGCTTACAAATTGGTCGGGAAATGGACCGGTAACGTGTAAAGCTCCTTTTTCCTGAAAAAGAGCTATCTCGGAGTCGACCTTCTCTGACTCTAGCTGAGAAAAAACCAAAGGTGCCTTGGCCCTGGTTTGAATTGGCGGGGCCGTAAAGGGGAGTTTGTAGCCCGACACCGTGTCTAGAATCTCCGGATCTAGAGTTATTTGCCTCCAGTTGAGAAGAAAATGAACCAGCCGTCCTGCGAGCTTTGCTGGAGGAGCAATTGATCGAAAATCTATCTTTAAACGACTCGAAGGCAGTACGTTTACCTGCGAGTCCAGTTCCCGAGCCTTTTGTAAGGCGGGTACATGCAACATTGGTTGGACTTTTGCAATACCTGTTAGATTTTGTTCTCTGCCGGACGTGCGAACTGTGTCGCATGGCTTTTTCCCCGACGATACGAGTGCTGGCCTCCACGGTTTGAGAATCTCTGGCCCCACGGGCGAGTATTGAGAGGAGAGAAGATCTAATGAATCCGAAGAAATTTTTGCCAAAAGCCCTTTTCGGCGATCAGCGAGAGCACAAAAGCTCGCATTCCCGGTCAAAGCAACGGCACGTTGAACCAGCTCGACCACTTCAGCCGGATCCAAACCCGTTTTACTTTGCTCAGCTAAAAGGGCTTTTTGCCAAAGCTGGGCTAAAGGCCCAAGAGGATCCAAAATACGCCCGGCAATGTTCATTTGACGTCGATCCATGACCGGGTTAAAAGGCGTACCGTTTCTTTTTAGGTATTTTTTAACAAAAGAGTCACCTTTTTTAGGCCGTAAATCAGCATGATGAGGCATTGGCGTATCTTTCAAAAGGTCTTTACGAGCGTTCTTAGAAAGGCCGTTAAAAGCAGCCTCCGCTGCGAAATCAACTATTGAGGTGTCAAGGGAATAGTCAAGTTCCCCAGAAGTGCTCGCGATTTGACACGAAGAGTTGTTTTGGCGGGACGAAAAGTCCGATTCAGTATCAGAGCTACTGCTCGTGCTCGAGGAACTTTCACTCGATCCTGAAGTGGAGTACGACCGCTAAAACTTACTTCGCTTACTCCTAGCCTTTTTTGACGAATGTTTGTGCTTTGTATGAGACGAATGTCTCCGTTTTGTTGTCGAAGCCGAAGGGCTATGAGACACGGTTTTACTCGGCCGGTCAGCCGGCGTTTTTTCTCGCGACACAGCTCGGGAGCACTCTCAGTTTCCACAGAAACATTTTCCATAGTGGCCTGAACCATCTATAAAGCACAATATTTATAAATAACCACGAAAATAGACTCAAATGCGAAAGGTAGTCCTTAGAGCGACAAAATATCAACCGTTTTCGTGAGCTGTGAAGAACTGAAGAGTTGGTTGCTAGGAGACGGTGTAAACATAGCTAGTGACGTTTATTTTAGTACCTAGTCCTTCTTCAGCTGTATTCGGTGTTTTGATAAGAATAAAGCATTGTTATATCGAACTTCTGTGTTCGAAATATATTCGGCTCGACAGAGCGGGTTGGCAAAATGGACTTTGCCCAGTACGTCATCTGCCTCGCCAAGTGTCCAAAAATTATTTTGGTTATTTAATATAACCAAATAAAATAATGTCGGCAAAGTGGTTATTTAATATAAAACCAAAATTGATAGTGTCGGTGAAGGTGGTTATTTGATATAACCAATTCAAATCATGTGCACGAAATCTGGTTATTTGATATAACCAATTTATATTTTGTGCATCAAAACTGGTTATTTGATATAACCATATTATATTTTGTATACAAAAACTGGTTATTTGATATAACCAAAGTGTATTATTGGTTATTTAGTATAACGAAATAAATCAATAAAAAAACAACCCTAAAACCGATAAATAATAAAAACACATTTGGCGCCCCATATTTGATAGGAGTTAATTCACCATTCAAAATCCAGAAGACATTGAATTGTGTATTATTAGACAAATAAAAATTTTTCGAACAACTTTTTTATTTTCAGGCAACTCATTGGCATCAAGGGATATTGCATCAAATCATACTGTGCATTCTAAGATGGAGTGTTCTTGGAAATGCCTGGAAGAGAAAATGTGCCTTGGTTTCAACTACAGATCTAAATCCACAAATGACGCAGTGAATTGTCAAATTAGCAACAGAACTAAAAGCAGGGATACGTCTCAGAATGGAGACTGGTGGTTTTATCAAGATTTGGAAACCGTAAGCAAGTCATTGGGCTGATAAAAATATCCACCTTATCTATAATTATAAGCGGTAACCTTGTTACTAAATAATATAATATAAGAAGAATATTTGATTTTGCCCAGCCTTGCCTTGAGCTACACCTTTCTAGCGTGTTGAACGTGTCATGTTGAAATGGCAGCCCGGCAAGCGGTGAGGTGTTTGGGCCCATGCGGCTCAATTCAAGAAAGACAATATTGCGATTAACCAACTAAACATTCCAATACAGATACTGCATGATTATAAACAAAAGTAATTAATTATAAAAAATAATTTATATATAATAGTATACGTAGATAATTGTATAAAAAATTACCCCCGTTGATGCGACGCCATGCACTTAGTTCGAATACTTATAAAATATTGTTAAATATTTAATATTTGGGTTTAATTTTGAATTGCATCGTAGCAACAGCTAAAAGATGACAATAAATCACTCTGCAAAATGATGAACTGCTTCGCGTTGGGGAACACATTGCCACGTCTTTTTAAGCTTTTAAATGCGATGTAAATAAAGCTAGGATGTTTACGAGCCACGCACCTATATTTTTAAGTCTGTTTGCATAAACAAATCCAATATAACAATGCATATGCCTGATCAGACACTTTCTCCAAATCATTATAAAAATCTTTTAGTAGCCCAACCGAAATGAGGTCAGCAAAATACTCACCACGTGTTTTTTATAGTTGGTAAAAAGTTCAAACGATAAATCGCCTCTATCTCAAGGTATAAGATTCTTGGTCAACATATTATCATATTAATATTCATGCCACAAATATACAATTTCAGCAGCATTTGCACTCAATAATAACGTCATTTTATTTCATTTTCTTCTACTTCATTTAATATGATCATTTCATTTCTTGTTATTTAAACTAGTTCAATGCACAGATCCTGAACCATTGGGAATGCAAAGTGGTAAAATCCCGGATTCAGCAATTACAGCATCATCTTCTTATAATGAAAATTACAAACCTTACTATGGAAGATTAAAAAGGCCAGGTCCTTCCTGTTCGTGGGCACCAACTACAGGCGGAAGAGTTGGCTCGTGGTTTCAAGTTGATCTCGGCAAAATGACAACCGTTACTGGATTAGCTACCCAGGGGCAGTCATGTGGCTACAGCGAATGGGCGACCACTTACTCAGTATCGTACAGCACTAATGGTAATAAATGGACCTTATATGAAGAGTCGGGAGTACCAAAGGTAATTAAAATTGGGAAAATATATTAAAAATGTATTGCTATATTGTTATATTGTTGTATATGTGGTGCATGTTGATGTATGCATACATCTCGTTCATCCTTCCTTACCAGGATGATCAAGATGACAACAATTACTTTAAATCATTAAAAACAATAAGAATTATTAGAAAGGATTATTAAAACGATATAAATAGAAGTAAACAAAACCTTTTTTGCTTGATTTAGATTTTTCAGGGAAACAAAGATAAACATTCAATTGTTAACAACACATTTAAAATAGATATCAGATCTCGATTTATTCGTGTGTTGCCAAAGTCTTGGAGCAAATATCCTGCAACCAGGCTCGAATTGTACGGTTGTTATATCTAACTATTTAAAGCTTATTATTGTTGTGTGTTTCTCCCAATATTCTATTTCCGCTTTATTGGATTTATGACGACACGAATGTAATGCATGAAGAAACTTCTCGCTTGATAAAAATCAATGTCGCTTATTGTGATTATTGTGATTCTTCAACATCTGTAACACATTCAAAGAATCCTGACATAATGATTATGCAACAGCACCCATGAAAAGTTTGAAAACAATGGTAACGATTTGTGGTGAAAAGTGAAACCCTCGTTTATCAGGAAGTGTAAAGCCCGCTTTCCGCTGGGCAAATTATTCCCGCGATGCGAAGCGATATGTGAAATCCGGTGATGGGCTTGGTTTGCGAAAAAAATCGCCGAGAAATATTAGAATTGCTACCTACTTTTTATTTGTTCCTGCGAATTAATTCGCATAGTGGAAAACCAGCTTCGGTCAACCGCTCAGAAAAATGTTATATCTTAAAAAAAATTCTTGGACCAGCTTTGAGTATAATTATTTGCATCTGGCAAAAAATAATATTACCGAATGTGGGCTGCATATGCACATGAGCAATTTCAAGGCCCAAATTCAAAATAGCATCAAATGCGGTATAACAACTACCTAAAAAATACAAAACATTTCATGATGTTTTGACCTGAGGGCCTTCGTCAGGAGAGTTTCCATGAAAATAAATATAGGGGAGAATACATGTTTTGTATGGGGGCAAAACAAGTGATAAAAATAGGCCAATAGAAAACACAAAATCAAAACAAATTGGTATACATTACATTGCCAAACAGACGCTTGATTGTAAGCTAAGAAAAGCAAAAGGAAATTATAAATTTATGTAATGCGATTTTATAAACAGAATACTAAGGCAAGGTTTACCCCAAGGGGATACGCTGTGCAGACGATAATTAAAACACTTATAAGATCGGCTTGACACCCTATCTAAAAGACCGACAGGCAACGGAGTCCACGCAATATGGGGAAGGTGGTCAATGGCCAGCAGCAATTCGAAGACTAAAAAAGACCAAATACCCAAGCCACAAACGGTCAGTTTAAGCGTTACATTGCAAAAGACAGAGCTCATTTAAAATTGAAAGCTATTTTACCAACGTTTTCTTCTATTTTTTTGTATATAATTTGTATGCGTATGCATGATTTCCGAGCCTAGTGATGATGGACATATGCAAATTACTTTTCATAAACAACTTCAGTGGCAACCAACAATTTAGTTATTCCATGCTAATATTTTGGTGTTCATTGACTGTGAAAACAATGAATTTCTGAAGAAATTTATAATGATAATAACATAAAATTTGCGTAGCATGACTAAATCGTCAGGCTGGCTACGCCACTGCTCCTTTTAAAACCGATTATCCTTACAGCAGCAAAATGAATAATATGAATATGTGCTCCTTAATTATTGATGCTAGCTGCGCCACTGGAAATTTCATGTCGATTTTCACTATTTCTTATGGTATGCTTTTTGGGTGATTTATACCGTAAGAAACTGTAAAGTATATAAGGTAACCCACAAGTCTCAAAATAACCCCGTTGGTCTTAATTTTTTATTGGGGCGAGGCTGAGTGAGTCCAACGCCTTATTTTCAGTATTTTGAGGCGAATAATTAAATTTTGGAACGAAATTTTGAGAGCTATGGACCCAGCCTGCAAAAATGTGCTATCCTGGTGTATTTATCAAGACTGACATCGTAACATAATCAAACGTGGTTGCTTTTGGAAACTTTAAGGTTGGTTAAAATTGCATCGCGTTGTTCATGCGTGTGTGATCCTTAAGTCTCTGACAAAATGACTATGAGTATTGGCCTTATTGTAAAGTACTAAAGTACTGGACAATGTGACTAGGAGGAGGTGCATATTCATATACTTCATACACGCAATTTCTACACTAGAACTTTGAAAGTTGTATTACGCACGCATAATTTAGACAGCTGTTAATAAGGATTGCCAAAGAGAGAACTTTCTAACTGTAGAAAGTATAAAAACTACGGAATTGTGTGAAATATATTAGCATAGAATAGTTTTCGTTTTTTTTCGAGACATATTGTAGGATCAATAATTAGGGGGGACAAATTCATATATTACTCATTTTGCTACTGGAATGACAAATGGACAATCGGTTTCAAAAGGAATTAATCATGCATCACATAGTGGGCCTAAATCCTGCAATTCAAACAATAGATAATGAGATAATAATGAAGCTTAATGAGGTTTATCATCTTATTATCGCGACGAAAATGCGACATTTAACCTAGGCCTTATTTTTTGCTTCCGTATCCAAATAACTAATGCAGGCTTTCAAATATACATATATTGAAATCATTCATTGTTAAAATTTGAATGCCGTGTTCACGAATTTTAGCCCGTGGGAATTTAATGCAACTTATAAAACGCTAAATTCAAAAAAATTGAAATTCTGAATATGATTAAATTTAAATTAGCCTTGTTATTGCTTCGAAAAATGGTATAGCTGACCGCGGAACAACGAGTGTTTATTGGGGTAATAATTATGATCCCAACAGTGAGTGCTTAGGCATTGAAACTCTAACAATTACATTGTTATGGGTGATTTCAATAGTTTTTGGGTTTTTTGAGACACCCTGTATAGCTGCGCCACTGTGAATTTTATTTGTATTTAATTGTATGTGTAGCTATATTGCAAATTTTGTAATATATATCACAAATGTGTATTCTATATGGTCACTTTTGTTGCACTTTCTTGAAAGCACATGTGGCGCTTAATTTGCCACATTCTTTCTGGTTCAACCATTAAAATTCGGGCACATTGTATAATTCAAAAATCAGCCGATATTTTTTTGCGCAACCCCCCCCCCCCTAACGAAGTTGAGCTCGTACGCCTATTGAGATATGAAATTATTTTTTCTAGTCCAGTGATTATTTTGTGCAAATTTCCCAGCTGTCTGTTAGCCTTAAGTCAGTATGACTATGACTATTAATTTTAATGTAAAGTACTAAAGTACTGGACAATGTGACTAGGGATCAAGAGGTGGATATTCATATACTTCATGCGCACTATTCATGTAGAAGTTTTATGACCCACGCATCATTATTTTATGTAAACAGCTGTTGACAGAGATACCCAAAGAAAGAAGATCTATTTCTTTTCAAATCAATTGTCTTTACAAGTCTGTTAACATGAATATATTTTTATATGTGCCAAAACACAATTAGCGTGCTTCTACGCCACTGATTGGAGTTGACTTGAAATCTTCTACATCTCAGCCATCGTCATTCAAAACCCGGTCAATGAATAAAATAATTTATTTAGAATAAAATATGATTCGATGATAAATCACGGCGTATATTGGGTTACGCAACCAGGCGTCTTCGTTCCATTCTGGCGTATGTGAAATAGTTGCCTCATATGCATAATCTTGTTTACTGAAACAAAACCTCAAATTCTTTGTCTTGAAGTTTTTGTAAGGCATACAAATCACTCAAGTTCACGTCCAGTTGAGAACAATGGCATGGCGATTTTCTTCTCTGCGACCAATCAGAACCAGAGAATTTGATGACGCGAAGGAAAGAGTTTGCAGCATGGTGTTGGGCGCGTGTTTTCGTATGGAAATTACAAAATCATTCTTGAATATTTTCTTGTTGTTGCAAAACGTTTGAGAAAAATTCTGTGAAAAAATGCCCAAAAGAAGCGAACGTTGATCAACTAACAACCTAAGACGTCTAACTTGTTAGAGCTGTTGATGGCTACATATCTGCAGGTATTTATTTGAAGCAACCAATTTTTAAATCACACCGACACGGATCAACGCGTGTATGTTGTTAAATTTAAAAGATGAACATTAGCATTGCCGGTTGCTACTAAATGAGTAATTTTGCTTGTCTTTTGCCGCTGAATCTTCTCAATATTTGATTAGTTTTGCCATCATAAGTTTCGTGTAACTGATCACTTGCATTCCTTATCGTTTAAAAGCAACAAATCCTTGGGAAAAGACGCAGAATTCCTAGGACGTCGTGTAAGGTTGGTTCATGTGAAACTTGATTTATACCTAAGGAAATACCCCGCCGATGAAGCAACACGTTTCACTGAATAAACCCACAGCTCAAAAATGTTCTAAAACTAAATCCACATAATTTATTTTAAGTAAGTGAAAGCTGACCCACAACTGATTAGTTAATTTGTAGAGAATGAGTTGGTTATTTCAATTGATATGTATGTAGTTAATAACTTAGTGGGGTATTTTATAATTTCCGTGTAACTCTTTGATTTGCATTGTATTTTGTTTAATACGAGACAAACACTTCTATTATAATTCGGACAGTTTTATGTCATGTTGTATCCTAGTAAAGACACAGAGTGTAAAATAGATTGATAGTCAGTCAGTCGGCAATGAATTACATAATTGTACCAGAGATCTTTGCAGACACTGAAATTTTTTTTCAACTTTTAGAAAGAATTTCTCTCTATCTTCGAAAGAAAAGAGCTAAGGAAGGTGACTAGGCAATCCCTAACTGAGCGCAAATGTGAAAAGTTTCTACTGAGAAATTGCATGTGCCACTTTTAAGGTCAAGGAAATAATGATCGCAAGTGGGACTTAATGGGGTGAGGGCATGGAGATTATTTCATTTTTGTGCACTTTTGACCCTTTCTAAAAATTAAATGCTTTCGATCGAGGTTGTGCTCTTAAAGTAGGAATCTTTGTGAACACTCCAGTGACTTCACAGTTCAGTCGCCTGCAGTGGAACATGCTTCCGACCGTCCCCGAGCTTGTTTCGGTTTAAGCAACTGAACTGCGAAGTCACTGGAGTGTTTACAAAGACTGGTTGAGTTGTTCACGTGTTGCTCCTTACGCAAAGGTCTCTCGGCTCGTGTGTAATGCAATTGTAATTGTTGAGGATATTCTTATACTGTGGTCTAATAAATGGCTATGGTAAGATTTCAAAACATGATTTTTCACGCTAAAATTTAAAATAAAATCATCAAGTGAATTCACAATGAAAGTTGAGGCTAATTGCTCTTGCGTTATAAGCACCGTTAACAGCGTTTTTCCATTTGAAAAAAAGCTGTGGCGCTAATTACCAAGCTTTAAATTATTTTTGGCGCTTTATTATTGCATGTTGCTTCGAGTTCATTCAGACCGTTAAAGCAAAAAGTTTTAAAAACGCAGCGCTTGCAA